AATTCGAAAGGTCGAAGGAATTCGAAAAGTTGAAAGAATTAGAATTAAAGGGGGAGCGGTCGAAGGAATTAGAAGGGGAACGGTCGATAGGGAAGAAATTAAAAGTTTAAATATAATATATAAATTATTCGAAGAGGCGGCGGGTATAGAGGAAATTATAATAGAAATTATATATTATTTATTAATAATATTAGCCTTCCTAGGTTTCGAAGTATTATTACTATTTAATGTAAAATTATTATTATTTCGAATAATAATGCGTAGATTGGGTTTGGTTAGTTGGGTTGGCTGGGCTAGCTCTATAGTAACTATACCGCTTATTATATACGCCGTTCGAATAAGAATCCTTTTATTATTTCTATTTCCGTCTTTTAAACCAGCGTTTATACGAATTATACGGGTATTGGGTATTAAAAGCCGCTTCAATCGTTGGAGTTTATTCTCATCGTTGGAAAGGGAGCGTTTAGGAAGTATAATTGAGGTGGGCGCAGCGGTACTTAGTACGAAGCGTATACGGTATAGATTAGTTTATTATTTAGAACCCTTTAATATTGACTTTAATTGATTAGGGGGATCTATACGAGTATAGAATAGTAATTGGATTGTAAATACCCTTAAGATTGGTAATAATATAGGCGTTTGAAGATTTTATTGTTGTTACGTATCGATGGATTTACGATGTGTGTGTATTTGGCGGCTCAATTCAAAAGTGGGGACTGACACCGCGTTTTCAACGCACAGCGGTCCCCTGCCTGCCAAAGAGGTGGTGGACTTGCCCTTGTGAGCGTGCGCCCGCTGTCCTCATTGGATGGATACTTTTGGGACGACGACGGCAACCAGTGAGGGGCAGCCCAACCCCTCCAACACCGGCGTGTGCCCCTCCATCAGAGGTCCGATTTCCCCGCTTTTCAACGTCGAGCCAGGAAGAGTTTTCTGAGGCGTGTGAGGCTCTTGCTTTACGAATCCGTAATAACGGCGAATTGCTCATATTTTACACACGCGCCAGACGCTGGTAATTCTGTATTCTGCGACACGGCCGCTGGCATGATACCGGTTCGCGGCCGTACCAACACAGAGCAGAGTGCAGGCTTTTGCAGCAGGCAGAGTCAATATCGGAGGTGCGCAGTCTGGGGAGGTGCAAGGAATCTATATATGGCGATTTGGCAAGTCCGATAGCCGGAGATGGCACAAATTGCTGGATAGAATATCAAAAAGACTTTTCGCTCCATCTCAAGTGAAGACATCAAAGCCCAGTCCGCCAGTTATCAGTCGGTCAAAGAGTCAGTCAGTCACAGAGCCAGCCGGTTCATCCACTGCTCCCCGCTACACGCGACCAAAAAGTCACAGAAGGTAGGCAGGTACCCACGAGCAACGTTACGTACAACTGCGTACGTAGGTACGGTCGACGTCGTCGGGCAAGTCAGCATCGTCCCGCTGCGTCCCGTTGCTGGCATTTGTCAGATGGACTGCGCAGAGTACACTACCTTACACTACACACTACCTCTACCTACACATGCGTCAGTCGCCTCGTCTGAAGCAAGCTGACCCTGTCGAGCACTTAGTCGACCTAGTCGCGCCGTCGCCAGGAACCCGCCAGGCTCATATATATACACTATCGAACAGGTGATACTCGGTACAGAGGTACTTGATTATCATTGCAAGATTCTAGTTAGTACCATGTCTTGAAACACAATTCCCCTATGCTGCCATAATAGCATGATAGCACAAGTCCCCTGCCCTGCTGCATGCCAGACTCTAGCGCTCCTTTGGGCCGCAGCTGAGGCTCCCCCTCCGGTGACGACGGCCGGCCAGTTCAAGAAGGTGGTCGTCCACTTGTCTGTTGAGCTGTCCGCCTGGTCGGCCTGAGAGCCGAGATGTGCCGGAACCCGCAATGCACTTCGCAACTGCGAGCTTGCCGTGGCCCACTCTGGAGTCTGGAGTCCTCTGCTTCAGCCTCTAGGATCCGGAGGAGCGCCGTCTCCATTCTCCCCATAGTCATATCCCACCACGCCGGGGACCCTTCCAAGTTCCCGGTTCAAATCCGTCTCGTTGCTGGTTGTTGTGCGCTGTATCGGTCATCATCCCATCGGCTAACTTCCTCGGCTTTCCAAAGGGATCCCAAGCTCTGCTACTCGTCTGCCCTCTGACCTGGACCGGCCGGACTTCGTTTCCCCCCCTTCCGTCCATTCCGCCTCCTCCTGACGCTCCTGACTCTCCTGACTCTTGAGTTCCCTCCGGCCCGTCCCGGTGCGAATAATTCCGGGCCTCCTAAGCTTTCGTCTCTTCAACCCCCCTTTACTAACCCCCCTCCCCCCCTTCCTTTTTCCCACCATGTCGCCCGTCACTGCAAACCTTATCCGCTCCTCCCTCCGTCAGGCTTCTGTCTACTCCCGTCTCAACATCGCCACTGCTCCTGCCTTCGCTCGCCCTGCTGCCCCTTCCCTCTTCGTCTCCAACAACAGATACCGCACAATGGCTTCCGAGGCTTTCCAGAAGATCAAGGTCAAGAACCCCGTCGTCGAGCTCGATGGCGATGAGATGACCCGCATCATCTGGCAGGACATCAAGGACAAGTTCATCTACCCCTTCCTCGACATCGACCTCAAGTACTATGACTTGGGTCTTGAGTACCGTGACGAGACCAACGACCAGGTCACCATTGATGCTGCCGAGGCCATCAAGAAGTACTCTGTCGGTGTCAAGTGCGCTACCATCACTCCCGATGAGGCTCGTGTAGAGGAGTTCAAGCTCAAGCAGAGTAAGTTTTTTTCCACCTTAATTTCACCATGCAGAAAGCGAGCACGCTGCACGGTGCATGTCGACGCATGTTCTAACATGGTTTGTGCGCGTTAGTGTGGCTCTCCCCCAACGGCACCATCCGCAACGCTCTTGGTGGCACCGTCTTCCGTGAGCCCATCGTCATTCCCCGCGTCCCCCGCCTGGTGCCCGGCTGGAAGAAGCCCATCATCATTGGCCGCCACGCCTTCGGTGACCAGTACCGCGCCAAGGACCTCGTCGCTCCCGGCCCCGGTAAGCTCCAGATGGTCTACACCCCCGAGGGTGGTGAGCCCCAGGTCATCGACGTCTTCGACTACAAGAACGGCGGCGGTGTTGCCCAGACCCAGTACAACACTGATGAGTCCATTGAGGGCTTCGCCCACGCTTCCTTCAAGCTCGCTCTTGACAAGGAGCTTCCCCTCTACATGAGCACCAAGAACACCATCCTCAAGAAGTACGATGGCCGCTTCAAGGATATCTTCCAGCAGATCTACGACACCCAGTACAAGGAGGCTTTCGAGGCCAAGAAGATCTGGTACGAGCACCGTCTCATCGACGACATGGTCGCCCAGATGATCAAGAGCTCCGGTGGCTACATCATGGCCCTCAAGAGTAAGTCAACCTGATTCCCGCGATAACCGGTCGGAGAAGCAAAAGCTAACCGAAAACCCCTCTTTGCAGACTACGATGGTGATGTCCAGTCCGATATCGTTGCTCAGGGCTTCGGCTCCCTCGGTCTCATGACCTCCGTCCTCATCACCCCCGATGGCAAGACCTTCGAGTCCGAGGCTGCCCACGGTACCGTCACTCGCCACTACCGCGAGCACCAGAAGGGCAACCAGACCTCTACCAACCCTATTGCCTCCATCTTCGCCTGGACCCGTGGTCTTGTCCAGCGTGGCAAGCTCGACAACACCCCCGAGCTCGTTGCCTTCGCTGAGGCTCTCGAGCAGGCCTGCATTGACACCGTCGATATCGATGGCATTATGACCAAGGATCTCGCCCTTGCCTGCGGCAAGACCGGCCGTGAGGACTGGGTCACCACCACCGAGTACATGGCTGCCGTCGAGCGCCGCCTTAAGAGCACCCTCAAGGAGAAGCTCTAAATCACCTTACTTTGACGCATTTTTAATACCCCCCCAAAAAGGAACGGAAAAAATTAGTCGGATGTGAGATGACGGATGAATCAGCTGCCCCGGTGGGCCGGGTAAACGGTTTGGTTCCGCTGCACCCACAGGCGAAGGGAGACGCGCGGAACATGGGATTGAAAAGTTGAGACGAAAACAGCATCGTCCTGGATATCATCTTTTGGTTTACGCATCAAAGTGTATTCATTGCATTTGCGTCTCGCGTCTTGCATCTTATACCCCCTAAAAGGGATCAAGACAAGGAGCCATCGGCATAATTTGCTGGCTTTGTCGTTCCTGTACCACCCATTTCGGAGTTTTTGGAAATCGGCGGGCAACTTGTACATAGGCTTACAGCATCTTCATGAACAAATTTAACGAAGTAAACCCCCCCCCCCCCCCCCCCCAAACAAACTGAACCTTCTGGCATTCTCTGCATACTTGGCGTTCTTCCACGTTCCGGTATCTGTTTTGTCCCGGCTTTTCGAATCAGTAGATCAGCTATTTTTTTCTTTATAGGCCGCTATTTCTGATTCCTAGCGTTGGCCACATATACCGCAACTACTCACTCGTAACGGAGATGCTCTTTCAGGGAAGGCTACACCTTATGCGGGGGTTTTTCGCCCGCTCTTAGCTACATATGCAGTATCTTTCCAACGGGATTGGCTCATACTCCTAGCATTATCCACAAAGCATCTCCGTCATGAGTGAGTAGAAGCGGTACATACAGCACCCTGTTTAGTTTTGTCGACAATGAAGCAAACCCGCCCACCCTGTACTCCTATCACCTTAAGCCGTAAAACTTCATAGACAAGAATCATTCATGTATCTTTGGTCCCTGGTGGACGGATGCTGGATGAGGACCTATCCGAAGACTGAAAACCTGGAGCACTGCTGGAAAGCCGAAGTATGCATGAACGACGAGTGTTCTCGTACCCGAATTCTATTCCCGATTCCCCCCATCTTAAAACATGCACATGCATTCCCGATTGTTCTTGGTGAGCCAACGCCAAAGAGCATATGGTGAACTCAGGCACCACAAGGAGCCGGCCGCCCGTGAACAAATACACGAAAAACCCGCTGAAGGACGTTAAAGGCCACTGCTATTATTCAAACACACACCCTCATTCACGATATGCCATCACGTCGTCCGGATTCAGCCACTAATCATCAGCCTTTGAGGCTTCACCACTGGCTCCGGCGCTCTTCCGCGGCCTTTTAGTACCCGATGTAGGCGTAGCCTCCCCGCCGCCGCCTTCGCTCTTGCGCTTCTTCTTAGTCGGTCGACTCGAGCCCCCCTTGGGCCTATAGCCCGGATCATCATCCACGACCCGCTTCCGCTTGCCTTTCGTTGTACTGGGTGTCACCGCCTCGAAGTTGTTATCTTCGTCCAAGTATTCGGGCACCTCAACGGCAACAGCGGCGGACTTGGCACCGCCCCTCTTTGTGCGAGCCGAGTTCGAGTCGCCCCGACCACCACGGCCCCCGGATGCACCGCCACGCTCACCTTTAGCCCGTCCGCCACGACCCGAGGTGGTGCCGCGAGTCTCGCCGTGGTCGTTGTCGTCCCCGTGGGCCTCTGTGTCTTGTAGGAATGTCTTGGGCGCGTGTTTCCGCAGCCAGTTGTAGACAGATGTCGGGTTGCGTAGCTGGAAGTCCCGGGAGGCGAGCAGTCCACTCTCCCTCGCGTTGGCGGCGGCGCTGTTCGGCTGGGCGACCGGCGCGAGGGTAGGCAAGGCCGGAGGAGGCGGCACACCGGTCTCGCTGGCCTCTTTCCTCGCCAACCGTTGGTCAATCTCCCAGATGTAGTTGTCGATATCGTCCGCTGTGAGAAACGAAGGTGGGTGCGGTTGTCCCTGGAAGGGATCGGCTGGCGAGTCGCGGCCGGCTTCGAGGTCTCGGAGAAGCTCCGGGAAACACTCGGCTGCTTGGGAAAACCGCATGTGCGGCACGTCTTGGAGGAGTCCCTTGTAGGATTTCGAGGGCCGGATGCCGCCCGGGGGCGTGGATGGCCTGTCGATGTCCAGGTATAGGCCTTCTTTATCGGAAGGTGTCTCGACGCTCAAATCGAAGCGCTTCTCTGGTGGGATCTGGTTGGAATTGTTAACGTCGAGAAGGAGATCGAGAAGACGGCTACGTTTGAACATGAATGGTTAGCATAGGATGCCGACAAGATTGATGGAGAGTTCGATAATCCTACTCCTTCTGAATGGCTAGTCGCCGGGCGGTTGCTAGAGCCTTTTGCTCGGCTTTGTACAGCTCCTCGCCTTCATGCATCTTCTGATCAAAGGTTATGCGCATCTTGCGATACTTCTTTTTCCACGAACGATAGGTCGGCTTGTCGTCGGCCATCCTCGTGTCGATAGAATCATCGTCTCCTCCTCTGTGGCTCAACTCGGTGCGGCCGCGCGGGTCGACCTCCATCTTGGAGAAAAGAGGGATGACGGATCGTGATGATGACTACTTGGTGTCGGCTTGTAATCGTCTAACAATGCGCGTCGTGAGAATGGGAAGGATGGTGCGTGGAAGGTTGGGTTTCGGGATAAGCCGTGGCGCAGTGTCGAAGTGATGGTTTGGTCAATCAATGACGAAGGAAAATGTTATTTTGGATCTTGGGAAAATGGCCAGTTCGAGCGAAGGCTGCGGCTCGTTTGTTGGATCGCGTGTCGAGCCATGCTAGTGTTGCCTGCACCGCTTGGTACACTCAAGGATGCTGTTAGTGTGGAGGTACCTTCACTGAGTGTTCTTCAGCCTTCCGTCTCGCGCAACAAAAAGCGTGAAACGCCCTGGCGTCCTCTTGCCGTTTTCAGCTGCCTGCCAGGATGCGGATCAGTGCGTATGGCCTCCCTTTAGAAGCATGTCACTGATGATGGACGCGCGTTAGATGGAGGCGGATTTGTCTGCTGACACACTGCGTATGGATGCTTAACACTAACAGAATGCTTTGCATAGTGACAAAGTTGAGACGGTTGGCTGCACTCTTTGCTCGCCTGTCAGGCTAGCTGGGCTGCATAAAATGTCCCTTGGGCCAGGCCAGGGGCCAGGCCAGGGGCTATCCCATCCTCGATCTAATCGATAGCGCCCTAGTGTAGTGAAAGTATCAAATGGAGCTGTGTACAAGTCAGGCTGTTGTTGTCAGTGGGGGGGAAAATAAGTTTTCTTCCATCCATCCAACCCAAGTTTTACCTTCAACCTCTTGACACCGAAATTCTCTTCCAAAGGGTTTATGTTCACTCGTCCACTAGCATTTCTCAGAACAATGGCCGAAAACGCAGCGAAGCGCATCAAGACCGATGGCGGTGCCCTCACCATCGGCACCCACAACGGCCACTTCCACGCCGATGAGGCTCTGGCCGTCTACATGCTTCGCCAGCATGTCCCCAAGTACACCGGCGCCCGCCTGGTTCGCACCCGCGACCCTGCGCTTCTTGAGACCTGCGACATCGTCGTCGATGTTGGTGGCGAGTACGAGCCCGCCCGCGACCGCTACGACCACCACCAGCGCACCTTCACCACCACCTTCCCCGACCACCAGACCAAGCTCAGCAGCGCCGGTCTCGTCTACATGCACTTTGGCAAGGGCATCATCTCGCGCAGCCTGCCCGACACCCCTGCGGAGGACAGCGACAAGATTGGCTTGATCTGGAACAAGTTGTACGACAGCTTCGTCGAGGCCCTCGACGCCCACGACAACGGCATCAGCGTCTACGATTCCGATGCTCTCAAGGCTGCCGGCATTGAGAAGCGCTTCTCTAACGGTGGCTTCACCCTCGGTGCCATGGTCGGCCGCTTCAATGGCAACTGGAACGATCCCGTCCCCTCGGACCCTGTGGCCGCCCAAGCGGAGGAAGACGGCAGGTTCGAGCAGGCCAGCCAGCGTATCGGCGAGGAGTTCGACCGCGCTCTCGACTACTACACCAAGGCTTGGCTACCGGCCAGGGATGTCGTCGAGACGGCCTACAAGGCGCGCAAGGAGTACGATGCGGAGGGCAGAATCCTTGTCTTGAAGGGTCAGTCGGCCCCTTGGAAGGATCATCTCTACACCCTGGAGGAGGAAGAGGGAGAGGGCGTCCAGAAGGTTCTCTATGTCCTGTACCCCGAGAAGCCTACACCCGACGCCAAGTGGAGAGTGCAGTGCGTGCCTGAGACTGGCGACTCCTTCCAGAGCCGCAAGCCCCTGCCCGAGGCTTGGAGAGGCTTCCGCGATGAGAAGCTCGATGAGATCACGGGTATCCAGGGTGGCGTTTTCATTCACGCGGCCGGTTTCATTGGAGGCAACAAGACCTTCGATGGTGCGTTGGCCATGGCGAAGAAGGCTCTGGAGTAGGAATCCAGCGCTGCTATGAAGATTGGCAAGCTCGTCGGCGTTTGTTAGAAAAGCACTTGACATTCCTCCCGCTGGTTAAGGGAAAATTGTTGCATCATCGTCTTCATGTTCATCACCATCAGTCCATACCTTGAGAGCATATTCGCTCGTGTTCACGTTGTTGACCGGCTGCATGACCTTCGTCAAGGCTCCAGTAAAGGCACTTAGCGTAGATAAGATGCTCTGCCGGCTGGGCACTGAGATACATCCCATTTGTGTCCTTATGAACATTGACACTGAAGATAGACTTCAAAGCAACACGCGCTGTCCTGCTAAAGGATAGACTCGACTCGACCAAACCACTGGAAACATAGATCACAAAACCCTAACCCATTCATATCTCATTCGAACAAAAGAACCTTACATTGAATAACATCAAACCCAACGCCACAACCCCCAAAACGTAATCTCATACCCATGCTGTGCGTAACTGCTTAAATGCCGTGTGCTGGTGAGTGTTCTTGAATACACGGTAGAACGAGATGCTCGGCAGATCGTTTCGAGGAGGCGGAACCTCCGTCGAACGCCATGCGCATTGTTTCTCTGGATGTTTATTGTCGGATAGGGATGGGCTCTTGCTGGTTAGCAGGCGCGGCTGAGATGGCGTCGGCGGCGGCTTGCTCTTGCTGTTGCTGTTGTCCGGCCCCCGCATTGTGTTCGCTGCTGTTGAGAGTTTCGAGTTCCTCGGCGCTGAGCCCGCGGCTAAGGTAGCTGCTTTCCTTGACAGGGCTGCCGGCTTGAGGACCCATGTTGCTGTGCTGATGAACAACGTGATGGGCTTGCGCCAGGCCGCTGGCACCGTTGATACCGCCGCCGGGGCTCGTCAGATGGGGAATGTTCTCGGGGACGGGGTGCTGGCTGCCTACTGAGCCCGTGTCGACACCGTCGCCCTTGCCAGCCTTGCTCATGGCATAGTCGCCGCTGTCAAAGTACTTGCGCTCCTTGAGATGTTTGGCGAAATGATCGCTGCGGCTGGGCAGCTTTCCGTACAGACGGAAGAGGCGTTGTTCCTCGGGGGAGAGCGACTGTAAGATTTGGAGAATCGTCAGCGCCGGTACCCATGGCGCGAGTGTTGCGAGTTGTTGCGTTGTGCTGGGAGCCCGCAATGCTTCATGGTGTCGTTGATGGTGTCGGGGTTGGGTGGTGTCTTCCGAGCCCAATTGCGCCCGGCTGAAGTGGTCTGATGGTGTTGTTGCTGCACTGGCGGATGATGTCAACTTACCTGAATGTCAACCTTCTTTGCCTGGTGGGGATTCATGGCTGCAGTTCGAAGTCGAGCTCTTTGCTATGCGCTCAACCGCTGGCTCTTCTCGAGGCCGTTATAATTCACAAATGGATCGATCGATCGCCAGGTGTTATAGACCCTTTCAGTCTCGCTGGATTCTGCTGGTTGTCGGTCGCAAGCCTGTCGTTCGCTTATGATGGTCGCGGAACGTCGAAGACGGGGCGGCTAAGGTGATGCAGGACGTCGATGGAAGCCTGTGGATGCACGACAAAGGTACGGTATTGGAGTGCTTGTTAAGGTGCCCGCGTTATCTGGTGTTCTCACTTGCACAGTTGCACTTAGAAGAATAGGTGGAGGAGGGGCGACGCAGACGGGAAGATGGGGTCAAGAGGCGGGACCATCAACTTCTGGAGGTGGGACAGGTGGGACACTTGGAGCTACGCAGTGCGGCAGTCGAGGTGCAGCATTGCCTGCCGGGACTGCAGTACCTTTGTGAGGCGGTGTCTGTCAGTGACCAAGGGCAGAGGTACCTCTAGGTAGTCACTCTTAACCACATAGGCTCAACCGGGAGTCCGTGCACAACTGTCGCTTCGATACCACATGGTCCATGCGCTGCGCTATCTTATAGGGTGCTGTTGGAGATCCAAGTGACTTCGTCTTTCCTTTTCCGGTCTTGGAGTGCCCTCCTACTCCTGCTCGAAAGTCGAAACCGTCACTCTTCGCTCATCATGTCTACTATCAGCGTTAACGATGGCCATCAGCTATTCATGAGACCCGCGATGGGCAACCGCATTGTTTCACACCTTCCCCGCCCCTCAATTTTCCAATCTCTTTGAGCGTTCGCCATCTCACTTGTGCGGAATAAAAACCAAACCGATCTTCATGGAACATGTTTGTTACTGCCTCCATGTTGCTTGCTGAGAAGAGGGGAACCGATTACAGAGAATGTCAGACACCCAGTCGTGCCGGCCGAGCTAGGATGGCCAGGGCCTGATCAACAATCACCTACGTAATGCCATGAGGGCACCTGCAGTGGTCTGTAGTTTCTACGGGTCACCAGATCTGTAAAATGTTCACCATGGCAAGTGCTATCTATGTTGTCTCAGCTTATGTCTGCGATGGACAGTGATCTGATGTGATGGGACAGTTTGGGGCAGCCACCCGAAGGGTTGTTTATACAAACATCTAACCTTCCACGAGATCAAGGTACATATCTCATATTTTCCGATTCCCTTCCTCGTGTGTCTCGACCCTACTTGATAGGCCCAAGTATAATAAACCAAACCCGCAATTCTTGCCATCCTGTTCATGATCGAGTGTATCTTCATAATACTCATCAAGAACAGAGCTCTTTCCATACTCTCATCTCGGCCCTTCAGGAAGGCAGTGCCAACAATGCAAATGTTCCGCCTACGACAGGCCTGGCCACAAACGTCGGTCCGTTCTGCGGATACCCACCCGTCTCTGCATCATACAGATCTGTCATGGCTCGATTCGTTGTCGTGTTGCCGACCCAATTTGCGAGCTTATTGATGAGCAGTGCCTTGGTGTCTGGGCCGGCAACTGCCGCTGCAAACATCATCCAGTCTGACTTGGTCCAGGTGTGGCGTGTATCAAGCGGGACCGCGTACTTAAGCGCAATGCTTTGGTAAAATTTGGACTGCATGTCGAAAATCGACTGGTCGACAAAGTTGAGGTCCAAAAGCTTATCTGCGTAGATGTTGTAGAGAAGACCTGTTGTTCTTTGTTAGAGTGCTGGATCTTGCGAAAAGAGGTTACATGAGACACATCAGGGAGCAAGTAAACAAAGCGAAAGGAGGGAAATGTCCTCACCATGGCTGTTTTTGTCACCATAGCTCAAAGTCGTGTGCGGAAGGTCGGTATCATTGTTGATGGCTAGAACCTTCCATTGCTCCAAGTACTGATCTGCGATGGCACCCCAGTTATCGTTGTTGGAAGTTAGGTTGGCAATTCTACTCATGGCCTTGAGGCCAATGATGCCTTTTATGGCCAAGTTTGTTTGATTCCTAGACAAAAATCTGTCAGTTGGAGTTATCCAAAGTTAAACAGAATGTAAACATACGCCAAAGTCCCGGCAAAGTCGTCCGTGCTGAGCTGGTTAGATGGGATCAGTGAGTCCTCGACCAGGAACTCTGCCCATTGCGAGAGTATCGGGTAGTGTTTCTCGAGATAGCTGGTGTCGCCCGTGCGCTCGGCGTAGGCCAGCGTCATGATGACCATGTTTCCGCACTCCTCCAACGGCATTGGCTCGTCATTGCCAGATGGATAACCCTTCGCAACAGGAAAAGTTCCCAGATCGTGCTCGGCCCATTTGTTCGGGTACGCTCCGCTCTCCTGGTTCTCGAACAAGGGATCAAGCAGGTACCTTGCGAGTGTCGCATTCAGGTACAGCAGAATAGGGTATGCCGGAAATATGACATCAACCGTTTGGATGTCGCTGTTCGAGCTGATTTCTTTCAAGAAGATGTAGGGCTTTGAGGGCGTGCCGCCGAACTGAAGTGCCCCAAAGCTTTGGCGAACTGCTAGGGTTGTAATGGTCGCGTAGTCCTGGCCACCCGCCTTGACTGAGTCCTGCTGAATCCTATTATCTAGTTCGTTGCTGTGAGTCGTTGAATACTGGTAGTCATCGTAAAATGCGCCGATGGCCTGTTGGTCATCGTGGTTGAAGTAGGACTGCCACAGTCCAGGGACTGCATCGAGGGTTTTGTTGATGCCTGCGAAGTGGATAACATTGTCTTGGATCAAGCCCAACGTAAAAAGCCGTTCTATATCGGTACTTCCAACGTTGCCAAGGTCATGAGAGAATCCGAACACCGGCCTAAGATGGTCAGTTGTGGTTCGTAACACCAGAGTTCCATCATGTAACCGGAAACTCACCAGTTATCTTGAACAGCTCTGAAAGTGTCGTCTACGGTATTAGCTAGTGTTTGGTTGCTTGCAAACTGACTTCGTACGACTTGGTCAGAGCCTATTTGCCAACTCAGCTGCATGAAAATGTTAGTTAACCGTAGATTCCACTTCACTTTAATTCTCCAGCTTGACCAAATGATTGTACTTACGCCACTGTCGGAACCAGTAGTAAAATACCATCTCCCCCAAGCTGCGATCTCGCCATTCTCGCCGTACTCGACTTGCTCGGTCCGTTCGAATGCATGGTAATCAAGCTTGTTGGTTTTGTCGTGAGCCCAAGTGATCTTCTGGGAGAGGTCGCCGCTTGCCCATTCTTGGGGTCATCATTAGCTCGACAGGCAACCACATCGGCGGCACGGAAATGATGAGATATGGATTTGGCACCAACCTCCAGAAACATCCATATATAGCCGGACATCATGTGTCCCCCCATCTGCAGATTTGGCCTTTGCAGAGATATACGAAAACTGCTGCGATTGCCTGGAAAGATCATCTGCGAACACCGGAGATAAAAAGGTGACGGTGAGGTTGACCTTGCCGTCCACGTCAAAGACGAATATGCTCTTTGTTGACGTATACTCCAAGGACAGTTGCTTGACGACCGGATTCTGAGAGGCTTTCCCCATCCAGTTGAACACCTTCCCATCGACTGCGATCAGGCCCTGCCAGCCCAGGATCTGTGTACTACACAAAGGCAAAGTTTCATTAGTCGGTGATAGAAACGCCAAATCAGCGGATGGCTGACACTTACGTCCAGTGTCGTGGCCAGTTATCCGGAAGCAAGCACTCAGGCTCACATTGTAGCCACGAGTTCAAATACGGTGTCCGCACTGCCAACGGTACCGCTGGGGGTCTCGCCGGTTTATAAGTTGAGGCATGCACAGTAGCCATTCCGCAACATATTGCAGCCACAATGGCCGCAATTTTCGGAGACCACATCGCGGAAAAGACTATGGGGGGCCTCGGAAAGGTGAAGGGCGGACCAAAGAGAGAATGACCGATAAATTGAAGGAGAAGTTGTCCGATGCTTGCGGAGCTACTGACGTGCGTTTCGAAAGTACTAATGCAGGCAGAAGGGGCTGTCCTGGTTTGGCAAATGCGGGAGAGCTGCAAGTTAGGGGTTCGTGAGAGTGGACGGACACAACCTAGATGTTATAGAAAAAGGAAGACCTGAGATGATATCAGTCGACACGAGCTTGGGGGGATGACGGGACTAGGTTATTAGTCACAAGGAGCTGCCAGTTCATATCGTGACAAACAAAATCAACCCTCGATGCCTGGTTCTCCAACCCAGTGCTGCACACAAGTGAAGTCAAATCAAGTCGGGGGTCTAATTTAACTTGTTTGTAAAAAAACAAGCGTGTACTTGACTTGTTTTGACCTCGGATTTAACTTGGCTTATTAACTTGCTTGCGTCAATACCTGTACCAGACCAATATGCACCCCCCTCCAGATACCTACAGTCGGGGATATTTTAGTACATATATGTCCGTGCCTTGGAGAAACAAGTCCAACAAGTCAAGTCAGCTTCTGGACTTGAATTAACTTGAACAGGCTTTCGGGCGACTTGACTTGCCTCCCAACAAGCTGACTTGGCTTGACTTGTATACGACTTGGCTTGTGTGCAGCACTGCTCCAACCTAGGTGGCCTGAACCAGAATGTGACGAGGACAGGTGAACATAGAGTTGCTATGGTTTGACGGCCATGGAGGGGGCTCGACTTCAGACATGGGAGAGAGTTAGATCTGGAAGTTTGTTAATCAAGGTGGTTGTAGTATCTGTCTCCAACCGGGCAAGCTTGACCATCGAGGTCAGCACGAGCATTGTAACCTCGTGCATGATGTCGATGCACATGCCGTGACTGCGGGAGAGCTACGGTAGCATCTTGGAGAACAAGACATATCCACAACCTCGCACCCATAAGGCTCAGAGAAACACCGGAAGAGTAAATTAAGAATCCAATGTCCCGACCTCCTTCTGGACAAATGCACCAGCAAGTGTCGTATCGTCTTATAAGTCTGCATGCAACCTGACCTAAGACGGGCCTCAACGTTGGCCTATGTACCTCCCCATCACGAGGGGAAACGAAGAGGAGACACAGAAGAGCGAACATTTATCTCGGTATGACCCATGAGCATGCGCTGTCCAGACCAAGTTGAGAATATCCGTTGAAGAGGGGGTTGGAATGCCGGCACTGGGAAGATAATATGTCTTGTGGGTACTGCCAAGTCCACAATGTGGGCAATGAGTTGGTGAACCTAAGAGACCAAGCGTTGACAACAGCAGGTATGACAGCAGGACCCCGAAATCGTAAACTTCAATAAGACGATTGATGAGGAGACACAAGAAGCATATTGGAAAATGGATGTGACCACCCCACAAACATATGCCCGCAGTTATTGCCGTTATCGTTGTCTGAGAAGGAAGGTGAATTTGGGGAACTTGCTATACATGAGAGGTAGGATGTGGGATGGAAGCTTAACTAACGTATGTAAGTGGACCACCAGTTGATCATTGAGTGGGCGGATGGAGAATCTGAGGACCAAGGTCTCCCAAGGTTACCTATGCAGGAACAAAACGCAGCCGTGGCTCATCATCACTAGCCTCTACTCCAGCTCTAGGATGAGTTTATGCAGTAGAGACGCTGAGTTTGTATCAACCTAGTGACGCTGGAAAGTCGCGGCATACGCTAAGATCAACCGTTAGAAAGTGATCCTTTCAAGGTGGCTAACAGATCAGTAGGGGGTGTGTACAAAATGGAATGCACCCTCTGGACGAGTATGCAGATATCAACTAGCCCAGCACTGCGAGGGAACGACCCTCCAACTCAGCCTATTCCGAGGCAATGGCGCTTTGCATGGCGGTGTCCAAATTGAAAAACCGCCATTGTTGGTGCTGGTCTGACAACATCAATATGTGGTTGTTGATTCGTAACGTTCGAGAATCTGATGCATGATGCCGCGGGGTTTTAGCGTTGCACGGTTGAAGAAGGAGAGCTTCCACTTTTGTTGCTCAACTAGTCGGTTGAAGTGACTTGCCACAAACCAGGATCAAAATGCCGGCACGATGCTAGACATGAAGGCTGGCGAGAGCCTCACTGAGGCGGGCAGACGGTGCGTCATGCATACTAGGATGAAACTCCAAGTGGTGGGTGTGTCTTGAGTGTCCGAGTCCTGGCCGTTTTACCAATCCATTGCTCTTCTCGGGTCTGACAGGTGATTCATGCCAGAGCAGGGTTGTTACTATCAACCGCAAGAGGGTGCTTGCTTGCGTCTCAAGCTTCACATTTCGTCTTGTCTGCTTTTTGTTGCAAAGGTATTGATTGCCGTCGTTGGTCATCACATGCTGATGAGGGGTGTATTATATTCAGATCATGAGACCTAAAGGAACCGGTCATATGGGTATCAAGGCGGCGAAGGCTATTGTGCGGCAGTTGCATTTCGGACAAGTGTACGCTGCGCGGAAGATTTTGAACTTCCAAATGATACGCTAAACCCGGAGTGGCGGGGAAGTTTTGAGATCCTCGACAAGATGGCTGACCGTTTTGCGACAGAGCTTCATCATATGCGCCTTGTTTAAGGCTGTGTGACGTTCCATTGCCTTGTACACTCACTGTTGGGAACGACCACGTGTCGTTGTTTGGCTCTCAGCACATATGCAGCAATGGAATAAAGCGGGATTCCGTCGTCCTGTGTCTCGTTGTCGCAATGGATCTACGCAAAACCGACTTTTCTGGAAGGTCGCATGAATTGGTGATCGTGATCGTGATCTGGACGGACTTGTAGGTTCAGAACGATCCAACCCCCCGCAATACTCGACTGTCTTCCGGTCCGATTAAGCGGAGGGTTCCATTGTACAGTATCCGTCAGTTGCGTGACCCTTTCGGGGACCAGCAACGAGTCGAACAGTATCGGCGCAAGACACCCCCGAATTTCTTGCGGTTAGATGTTGACATATTGGCTGTCTCGGTCACACAATTTCTGAAAGCCAGTTCACGGCTTCTGAGCCAGGTTATTGGGCAGATCAGGCAGCCCTTCTCCTGAGCCCATATCTCTTCCAAGAGGAATCCGTCCTTTGAGAGCACAGCTATGACGGAGTGTCACCGTGTCACGCGCAAGCTTGCAGCGTTGTTAGTGCCCACCTGCCTTTGGTATAACGGGCAAAACACCTTTTATTTGTTTTGATTCATCTGCAATACTCTGGTTAGCGTCAACGCGGCCCTTCCATGTATGATAAATCCCGGGGTTTGGAAGTTAGTGCGATGTAAAAGGAGGGGGGGTGACTGATACCTACACCGTAATGATGGAAGACGCGGTGGCCGTTGTGATATAGACTTGCGGCGATGTTTCAAAGTTGAGAAACAACCGGAGCAGTAGTGTTCTACGGGATGACGGGCACGGTATTTTTATTGGGTCATAGTCCTTCCTTCGCGAGCATGTCGGCAATGTCGAGGTAAAAGGCAATTGCATTAAACCTGGAGTCGACGGAGTCAGAAAGAACCCAGAATAAGGGAAGGGGAGTCGAGATGAGCGGCTCGAGAACTTACGTGGGCGGCCTGCCCATCCACTTTTGCCAGGTGAAGCGGAACCTATTGCTCCAGTTGATAAGATCGAGATGGTTCACACCAGAGAGCGTTCCTTTGTACGTGCCCCACTGGCTGCTTTGGACACTGACGAGACCATCATTAGGCCCCTCGATGCCGTGGATAATTCCGTGGGAGAGGCGGAAAGGGCTAAGGAGCGGTGGTTTCTCGTGGACCATGGCTCCGTACGAGAAGTAGCGGACCTCGGGATCATCGGGTGTCTTGGGGTTGAAATCTTCAGTCATATACCTTTTGGTCAGCTGGTTGAAGGCGCCCGTCTCAAAGCCGGTGATGCGCTCCCACATGTTGTAAAGACTGGGCAAGCGTTCAGGGCCAATTTCATCCATCAAGTAGTCGGCGAAGGTGCTGCCATGGTGGGGAGTGGCGACGGTGACGAGCGACTTGACCCTCACACCGGCGGGTTTGAGCTGCGAGATCATATATCGAGCATCCAAACCGCCCATGCTGTGGGCTATGATGTTGACGCTCTTTCCCTGGGCCTGGGCTTCAATGCCACGGGCCAGCTCAGCCGCACGCTGCTCGACCGAGCTGCTTGGAGGGACGGTGGTGGTAATGACCTCACATTTCCTCCTGCTAAGAGCGTCTTTGATGCCGTGCCAGTAGTGGATGGAAGGCAGAAAGGAACCGGCGAGCTTTAGTTCAGCAAAGCCAAGAAGGCCGTGGGCCAGAACAATGGGGTTTTTGGGTGTTTCTGGAGCAGTCAGTGACTTGTGCTTTAGGTATTTGTTCAGATGGCGCAACTCGGGACTCACCATACTGGTCTCTTAGGATGGCATAGTCGTCTACAATCTCCTTGCCCAGGTACTCCTTGGGCGCAAACTTGTTTCGCGGATCCAAGCTTTGGCGATGACAAGTCGATGACGCTCCAAAATAGCGCCTGGCTGTTGGTGTAGTCTTTGGAGTCAGTATCGTCCTCGCTGCGCAACGAAGTAGACTCGTTCGCGCGGGCACCGCCACTGCTACGATGATGGCTTTTCCTGTCTCCATGCTGCTTCAGCACTGCACACTGCAATGCGCTGTCTGTCGGTCGAATGTGCCGGTCGTAGAGAGCTTGGTGCTTGGCTATCGGGCCGGTGTTTTGTGTCAGTGTGGCGGCCCTGGTGGTGTTCGCCGGGTGGCAACGGGATTTGCTGAGCTCAGCGCGACATTGGTTCTGGGGAGTAGTCACGGTGTGAGACCAACAGATGGAAATCGATCACCGAATCCAACGCACAACTTGAACCAACGCACAAATGACAAGAACAGGATTACAGGAATACAGAACAGGAAGGCACAATGGCGCAAATGACCAACCCGCTGGAAAAGGAAAGTTGCGACTTGGAAGCCGTCATGTCATTGGACGGCAGACTCGTCATTACGGGGCTGTCGATTGTTCGAAGCCAGGAAGGGGCGGCCCGGGGAACTCAGGTCGACATGACATGTCGTCGATGCGATGTGGCTCGATACCGACTGTCAAGTCAGGCACTAACAAAACTTGCAGATGATTTGCCGACAGTCTGTTAGCTGGCATCAGATGACACTTTGCCTAGCTGTGTTCTGCAGGTCCGGCTCGTCCCAATTTTGATCAGGATCTATGAATCATGAACAGTTGGTTCGTGCTTCTTCTCATTGATTCATCCGTCCCATCTCGCCCACCTCTCTTCCTTCTTTCGTCCTCCAACACACCAACCCATCCGACCTTGCACCTCTTCTGGGCACGGTTGTACCGCGCTTAGTCGTTTGGCTCGGTTAAACAGATCAATGGCATGTGAGCGTTCCAACCGGAACATGTCGGCGCTGGCCCGTAGTGTCAACACTATCGACCATCATTGGTAGTCTGCCGCGTTAGCACCAACAAGTTCAACAACAATCTCCCATTGGCCAGTTGAGACGCTATCACAAAGACTGTAACCCTTTGCCGACCAACACCAACCAACGTTCACCAGCCTTCATGCAACCTAGCATTCACATCCCGCGTCTCGTGCAGGAAAAGACATGGGCTTGGAGGGCTCGGCTAGGCAGAGAGGTGTCTCACTGTGCACCATGTGCGGAATCACCATACGCCGATACAACGCTGTAGCCGATCCAACGCCTTTACGGCAGTGGTTGCGAATAACATCAAGACAAGCGCGACCAGACAGCCAGACAGGCCAAGCCCCAATGCCCCCAAGGGCCCCCAAGCCACGGTTCACTGTCCACTATTGGCTCTTGGCGATGACACTCGGTGTGTCGACACCAGAACGTTGAGATTTCGCGTGTAATGGTCGGCTCAGGCTTCATTTTGGACCAAGTGTTCCTTTGGATGCCATGATGCTCTCTGTTCTTGACGGATGAGTTTAAGACGAATATAAAATGGATGGCAGGAAGAGCCAGAGATTCTGCGATTATAGAGTCCAACACCGGTGTTGTTAACCATGGCATTACTGTGTAAGGTGCTGACCGAAACAAACAACGGCCCGGCCCTCATTCACTACCAAGCATCCCGGGCCCCCGGCGTCTTGTTCGTACTGTGTCGGCAGCAGGTGCGCTTCTGGCTGATCGGCAATCTGCCATCTTCACCTTCTGGTTCTCCTCTCGAACATGGACCTTAAGCGCCCGGTACTACGCGGTTCCAGTTTGTCGGGTCAGTGTCGAGGCGAGGCCGGAAAGGCATCCTGATGAGCCGGCCCGTAGGATGGGTACTGGTTTGAGGATATATCTCTACGATGGGCGTGCCACCACCCGACGGCCATGTTTATGTCTCTTCCCAGTCGCATGTCGTCCATCCCGCATGTCATCAACTTTATCAACGTCGATGAGTACACAGGCGGCTCCAAATCCGACAACATGTTGACCACCCGAGACTGCAGTTCCGACACATCATGCCCCGTCCCCGGTGGCTTCTTGTCATACCAGACATCCCCTGCCGGCAATGCTTTCATGCTTGCTGCTTTCGCCGCACTCATCCCTATCAACACATTTACGGGGGTCCGCTACAAAACGCCCCTTTATGCCGTATTGACCACGCTTGGCCTACTCCTCGAGGTTGTGGGTCATGCTGGGAAAATACTGCTACGGTCGAACCCTGCCAGCGAAGGCCGTTTCCTCCTATATATGATAGGGACACTATGGGGACCGACATTCATCAGCGCCGCCGTCTACCTGGTTCTTCCGCATGTCATGGTTATCTATGGCGAGCAGTTCAGCCTCATTCCGGAGCCCATCTACTGTAATATCGTGTTTGTGGCTCTCGATATCTTCACCTTGGCTTTCCAGTCCATCGGGATTGCTCTATCAGCTACGAGCGATACTGAGCTTGAGGTACGTGTTGATACCCTGAAATCCTGGTTGTGGTACCTGAATAGCGGCTTACTGACCCGGAAACTGCAGAGACATCAGGGATTGAACATCCTGTTGACCGGGTTGGCTTTACAGTTGACAAGTCTTGCCCTCTTCTTGGGTGGCTACTGGTACTTCCGGCTCAAATTATCTCATCGCCGGTTTATCTTTGATCCCACGTTTTCCATGGTCTACTTGTCTTCTTACTTCAAAAAATTCCTCCTTTGTAAGTTCCGTGCCTTCCCCTTTTGCCACAGGAACGGACCTTTGTTAACACCATAACAGGCATACAGGCAGCCTCGGTACTTCTGCTAGTAAGAGCATCTATCCGACTGGCTGCTTTTACCGGAGGGCTCGCAAGCGGCCTCGTGCAATCCCAAGTCGTCTCGCTAGTACTTGACGACACCCTCGTACTTGTCGCCGCTATCATTCTCTCCATGGCACCTGTTGGGAGGGCCTTTGGATCATCTTGGGCTGAGACTGCCCCGTTCACGCTTGCGGGCGATGAGTCAGATCTGCCTCTACGCAACTGGCGGCCATCGACAAGCCAGCACAGAAAGAGAGCCATTTCACAGCCATTTCCAGCATCTCCCATGACTGCGCAACCATCTCCGCGGTCATACCATTCCATATATCCGCCACCACCCCCACCGTTGGCATCGCCGCAAGACAAGCGCGTGTATCAGCGGGCACCCTATGAGATTACCCCGGTACAGGTTGTACCCTACGTGCCCAGCGAAGCGGGAAGCCCGCCCCTTTCAGGGTCTATGCCGGCCGAGACGCCGAGGAGAACGCCTAGAGAGGCGCAGAAGCTTGTTGACCCTGATGCGCTTTGGGGCTAACTGCAGGTCCTAGATCTGTTGCTTCTACCCACTTTTACCTTGAGCTTTGTCTCCCTAGGAGACAGGACGGCTTCGACAAATTGATGTTGTGTGTTTGCGTTTTCTTCTTGTAGACACCATGCCCCATCACTTCGATATCTTTTGTCGAAGTTGAACTTGCTTTATGACGGCAAACGTAAGGCCAACTTGGAAGGGTTGGTACCATGCTTGCCAGTCGTTCCTTTACGGTCTCCCTTTGAGTTTTTGCAACAGCTTTTGTTCTTTCATCATGATACCACTCCTTTGTATACGCGGCGTTGGGGACAGGAGAGACTTGTAGATACATCCCTTGCTTTTGCTTCTGACCAACACTTCAAATATGGTCAACCAAAGTAACCGAACATGATCTGCGCTCTACACGTGCTGTTAAACCGATCGTGCAACCTGGAAAGCTCAAGGCGATGACAGTGTCTAGCTTACCCATCCCATGTTCCCAGGCAAGAACCTGAGTAACTCGGGCTCTTGTACGCGCCCATACATTCCTCATATGCCACATTACCACCGGTGAGGTGTCAGGCTGAGCCCTCTCAATGCAAAAAAGGAGTACAGTCCCCCGAAAATGGCACCACCAAGATGCGCCCCGTGTCCAATCTTGGAACTTTCATCGTTCAACATCCACAAATCGTAGGCAAAGCTGATCAAAGGTACCGTCCACAACTGCAGCGGCAGCGGCAGCGGCAGCATTCCAGCAAACTTTTGCACCGGAGTATATGGAAAGAGCATAGCCATAGCAACGCTCAACCCGCTCACGATGCCGCTCGCCCCCAAGCCGTAACGGGTCATAATAACTCCTCGCCGACGGCTCTGGCGATCTCTTTCCACCTTGTGTGCAAAATGCCATAGTTGGCCCACCGACCCGGCGACAGCAGAGCCCAGGCAGACGCAAAAGAGCTGGCCGTTGGACAGACCCCTGTTGATACCGATACTGGCCACGCTGATGAAGGTGGTCAGGTTCTTGACAATATGGTCGAGATCCTGGTGCGAGACAGCCGAGGTGAGAATGGTCCACCAACGGCCTTGGGCACTGTTGTCGAGGGAGATGGTGAAGTGGCGGCGGAGGGTCTGCAAGTGATTGGCCTCATTCTGAAGGCTAAGGAAGGATCCAGATCGTTTCGAACTCGCGTCTTCCTGACCCCTATTGAGATCGTGGATGGTCCTCACGTTGTTGCCCAGACCTCTACTACTTCTACCACTCCTCTCGCCTTCCTGATCCCTATTGAGATCGTGGATGGTCCTCACGTTGTTGCCCAGACCTCTACTACTTCTACCACCCCTCCCTTGTGGTTGCTGTTTTGTTTGGAAAGAGGAAAAGAGCTTGGAGGGGAGGTCGAGAAGGGAAGGGTATCGCCAGATGGCAAAGACGGCCGCGTTGACGCCGCAGAAAAGGTAGACAAACCAGCCCTTTTTGAAGTTGCTGATCAGATACCTGCCGAGATAGGGACTTCGCTGCCACCTCGCGTCGAAAAGGGCACGGGGAAAGAACTCGAATGGTAACTGGGCGAATACTTTGTTGGCTCGTTGAGAAGCCACCTCTGAAAGCAAGGCGCGCATTGCGTTGATGTCGGCGATGGTGGGGTAGGTGCCGATCCGGGGTTTCTCTTTGACGAAGTGCAGAACCAACCGAGCCAACGCGCCAACAAACGAAGGGATGACCCGAATGAGGCTACAGGGAGCTCGGATACCCAACCTCGGGGAGGACTTGTTCGCAAGAAATTGATGCCTTTTTGGAGAAAGAACACTTGGTGTAGATCCCGACGGTTTCGTGCGTACTTCCCGATGGGGGTTCGTCGTTGGTTCCTGCTTACGGTAATGTTGCATTGCTCTTTCCGATATGAAATTGCCTGCCGCCATCCTCCCGAACCAAACCCCACGACAGGGGTGTTATCGCGCTTGACACTGCCGAAACATTATTCTTTCCATGTTGCAATTTTGGACGACGACTTCGAATTTTCGACAGAACCACCTACGATGTGGAAGGAAAAGGACATCACTGCATAATGGGCAGGCACGGTTCATCTCATCCGATCTCATTCAGCCATGACCCATTACGTATGGTGGTGGGGCACCAACGCTTTGTGAGCGCATTCTCCTTTGTTGGTCTTTCCCCCTCCGCCTCCTCCGTCCGTCTCCCTTCACAAGAATGCGCCTTGATCACGGGCATTTCCTTTATCCAGAGGTTTTTGTATGTCATATAGGCTTTCGATTACAGCAAAGACAGGAAAAATGACAATTGGCGGTTTATATAACCCCATCTTTCTTCTCCCCATGCGTTTCCGTGGTGAATCGATGAAGCCAGTCCGAAGATGACATGCGCCCGGTTTTACACTTGATTCTTGGCCCTTTTTGATCCGAATCGAAACATTCAATCATCCCATTCATGTTACTCCGTCAATCCACAGGAATGGCGCACCTACGAGGTGGATCAATGTCCAGAGGTCCTGCCGCCTCAAGGATCGAATCAACCAGAGCTATCAACAACTCCCTTCTTCGCTGCAAGATCCTTCTCGAGTGTGGTAGTACCGGTGACTTTACCTATGACCATTTTCTCTCACAAGGGCAAGGAGAACGGAGCCCGAGACCTACTCCTTCCGTCCTGCCCGGCTCCAGAGCAAGGACAGCCACAGCTCTCTCCCACGCCGATCACGCCCTCGACCTCGCTTCCTACTACGACCAACCTCAACTAGTTGCGAAATCCCAGCTCTTCCGCGGCCACTGCTTTCGCCGAATGGCCCAATGGGACAAGGCATACTGGTGTTACATTCGCGCGGCAAGCGTGCGTGAGTTCGCAGCTGATAAGGGCCCAGAAGGACTGGAAGCTCTGACGAAAGAGTGCCAGAGGAGGATGGGAAGGTGGAGGGAGAGTTACTACTCCAGCGCTAGCGAGGAGGTTAGTAGTGAATACGGAACAGATGAGGTGGCAGTGAGAGAGGAGCGAATATCAAGTCATACCTTTGGTTGTCCGGATACTAAGTTTTTTGAGAGGGATAGTATAGGTGATGCTGACAGTGAGATATCATCACGGCAGCGAAGAAGTATGAGGAGGGACTCCATGTCAACTCGGCCGTTTTGGGTGGTTGATGAGCATGGGAGGGGAGTAAGAAGGCTGACAACGGTACCGATTCTAAGATCGGTTGAGGGGAGATGGATATCTGGGCGGCCTCGGTGAATTGTACCATCCTGATCGTTCTCACTGGCCTGAAAGAGATGAGGCCATGCCTTTCTCGTCAACAGACATCATCACTTTCAATCCGTTTGCAATATCCCTTCTCAATATTAAGTCAGATTTGATAGACCACATTTTTAATGTTCCACCATGAAACATTTGGAAGAATCAGGCTTCCAATAAGCATTGCGTAGTTGAAAGGTCATTGAAGAATGGCTGAGGAAGTCTAAACTAGAAAGGCGACGAACCATCATGCAGAGAAGAACGAACAGGAGATGAGAGGAGGTCAGTGACAGAGGATTCATGCAGAGAGTGCTCCGTCCTTCTAACAAGCTATTGTTTACATCTGCAAAGAAGCAGTCTTTATTGTGCCGAAACGCACCCCAGCAGGAAGCTCTCTTTCATCCAAGTCCGGAAATGGACACTATTTAAATTCAACACAAAGTTACGTTGACTCTTTAGTTTGCACCCATATTCTCAATTTCCTGTTCAATTCTTGCTTTATTTGTCCTAAGGATTGTCAAGTTCAGGACTTAGCAGCAACCGCGGCCAGCGTCACTCACTGTCAAACGAGATGGATACAACTAGAGATATCAGCCAAGGAGTCTCCAAGACTCCATACAACCCAAGCATACCTCGGGAGTCTTCAAGCTCGGCCGAACTGAAAGCCACGCTCGGTGGCGACAGCAACGAAGACGACAGCCCTCCGCACAAGCATGTCCCCTTTCAAGATGATCCTCTACTCGATTCTTTATGCGACGAGCCTTATCCACCACAGGACGCTCAAGCGCCAAAAGCTCTCAGGGGCTCGACAGAGCTGCTAGACGAAGTCACCACAGGCCAGTCCTGTTCCGAAGAACCGTTCGAACATAGCGAGCAGGGCCTTCGCTCTCGACAAGAAGGCGTCAGTGAAACACCAGCTGCTTCCGATAGCAGTATCGAGGGGCGACTCGATCCAACTGGAAAGGGGAAGGAGAAGGAAATATATCCGCTCGAGCTAGATCTGAGCGATGATGATCAGCATAACCGCGGTTACCGCCGCTCGTCAGACAACTGCGTCAAAGAGACCACCGATACCGTTTCCGGCTTCCCGAGCCTCCGCTCAAGACGGAGTTCAGAAGCTGTCGATGATACCCCGACGGCGACGAGTTTCAAGGAGAGGATGAAAAGCCATTTTGCCCGGGTCAAAAGCAAAGACGCCGCTTTGCCCACAACTTCATCAAGGGACCTATCGGAGGAACAGCTCGAGTTGCAAAGAAGCGAGCAACAGAGAGATGTTGAGGGATTCGGACCAGGAGAAATGCTTTCCACCGAATTGAGCCACTCTTCTTTATCCCCCGCGAACCGAACTGCCTCGCAGCACCAACATGATAAGAATGAAGTTTGTTGTACCTGCGATGACAAAACGAGCCGTAGCGACCGCCAACAACCTACAGAACTCAAGCGTGAGCCTTGGTGGTGGGTGATGCAGACAGGGTTTTATTACCTCGTCTACCGCGTCTGCTGCGATTTTGCGACTGCTGTGCATAACGGCTCACAGCTTTCTAGATGGTATGGTCCGCATATCAACGGGGGCCACAGCGCTGTTATCATGTTCACAACATGGTGGCAGTTCTTTAGGTTTGTCTTGGGTATGATGTACCTGGGCAGCTGGCTGTCTTCCGGTGCGGCTCGGTTGGCTATTGGTAAGGTAGCGGTCTGGGTAGATCGTGATGCGGCCCGGTCGTTGTTTGGGAAGATGGAACAGGAGTTCTGGAAGGGCTATGAGGCCGTACAGTCAGTGATGGCTGATGCTGCGTTTAAACTTGGGAAAACAAAATAAGAGCAAGGTGAATGACGTTTGACAGAACTGCTGTCCAAACGGTACCATGGTTGATATCAAGTGGCCGGTAGTGGTTCTAGGTATTAGAGTCCCATCTTATGTTCCGCGTACCTGTAGGAATCCCACAATTACAACATCGTTAGGATGCTGAAAGCACATTCTTCATACCACTTCACCTAAGATTCAGGGTGCAACCGATGGTTGGCTGTAGGCTTTCTAAAGCAGTGTCACATCCTTATTGGGCATATATTTTTGATTTGATCTGCTTCGAATGGGAGGCAAAGCTCCAGACACTTGTAAAGTGATAGACCTCCCTCATATTCAATCTAACCGTCAATGTCAGCACATCGGTGGCTTTTTTAATCCCCGGCTTCTTCCATGTGTGTTTCTGTTCCTCACCGGCTGAAGCAGTTAGCAAGTTGGCTTTCCGCAATACGGTCAGGCCGACAGGCTTGATCGATACGAAGTGTCGCCCAACGATTCCGTTTGAGTTTCTCCTTGGTTTATGATGCTTGGAGTTCCGGAAGAAAAGATCAGTAAGTGCTGACAGATGAGCCCAGCCGTATTAGAAAGCAGAAAAAGGTAGATGATGTCCGAATACCAAGGGGATCCGCCGGTCAGTAAACATGGTCCCATGGTACAGTAACTGAGAGCTCATTTAGACTTTACCGTATCCTTCCTCTTGCGAGCTCCCAGCAATGCCCCGACAAGAGACAGCGGGACAGTGGGCAGTAGGATTCGGCGTACCGAGTATAGAGAATTTGGGGCAAGTCCGTAATATCAAGCGGCAACCAGACGTGAACAGCGGAAGGTCTGTAGGGTTGACCACATAGGTAGCCGAACAATTTAATTATTTGCCGGCCAATCAAGTGACCGTACCGTCGAAATAAGCTTGCACGAAGACGATTCCGCTTAGGCTCGCCGGCAGCGGGTAGATACTTGCAATACCTCTGCGTATGCGCTGGCCTCGATGCCAGAATTGGTTAGTGGTTAGCAATAAAGCAGTGACAGTTGTCTTGTTTTGTTAGGAGACTGTTTATAAAGCTGAAGGGAATGGGAGAGCAGCGTCTCGAGAGAGTGTCGCATGAGGACCTCTAGGATCGAACGGGGTCCATGGTAGGACTGCAGACTGATAAGCAGAAGTCATCCCGCACTTGGTCTTGAATCTGGAAGGCGCAACTCGATGAGATACTGCCAACTCGAAGTCGTCATGCGAAACCCTAATCTGGACACTCCTGGCACAGGCCAGAAGGGAAATAGGGTGGCTTTCTGACCCATCCCCACTCTCTTACCGTTTTCCCCCACCCCACCCCAATTGAGGTTGCGTCTTCGGCGAGGATGCTTGCGAGGTTCCAAATGGAGCAAGTGCTTCTGGCTGCCGCTACGCACCGTTCGACCCCACGCGGTAGTAGTTTAAGTTGACGGCAGCCACAATCCTCAACGTTGAAGAGGCCAAAGGTACACAGTTCGCAAGTTAGCTGGATACACACTGTATGCTGGTCGCTCCGTCCCAATCAGTGCCTAGATTTCGTCGTCACTTGCACCGATAGTGCAATCCACGAAGAAAACACAGAGCTCCAGATCTTTTATCGTTGTCAAAGTCTAGGATAATAACATAATATACACCTTCCTTTCTCACTCTCAGTCTTATTTTCGATTACCTTCATCCTGTATACCCGAACCCATTTGAAACCGTGGGGGTGCTTCACTGCAGGCGAAGGTTATGCGAGATAGGCCGGCCCGGGATTATACCGTCGTACCGCCGTCTGCAAGGAATCGAGCTGCTGGTTTGGTGCTTATATCCCGCTGCTTAAGGACCCCGTTGAGAAAAATTCAAGGAGGCAATGTAACCACGCAGTCGTCACCGTCGGACTTCTCTCCGCAAACCATCGGGCCTTTGCCGGACACCTGCACTGATTTCACCGCGTTGGCAACTTGCAATATGTGGTATTCAGCTAGGCAGGCAGTAGTGATCCTCCATAACCCACGCTTTGGGGTATGGGATCGAGTACTTATTGCGATGACATCGATCCTCGGCGTAGTCGTGGGTGAGGGGAGAGATGGAACAGCAGTGATCAGACTTCAATATGGCTATGGCGTGCGTGAGGGAGTGTTCGAGGTATCTTGACGGTCCATCACAGGGACAGTGATGAGATCAGCTGAAGTGCGATGCAATCTGCACCATGCAGGTACTTTGCCTGAAATCATAATGCCAAGCTTTCCAAGCATTGAGTACCACAGAAGTCAACGTCCATGCATTTCGAACAAGACTGCGGTTTCCCACCTTTCAACCCAAACACGTCTTCCTTCACACCAACAAAAGTCATTAAGAAACAGCAACAAGGCCCGACCTCCAAGTCAAACTGCCGCACCAAAGCATTATATGCCGTGTTGAGATCTTCATCTCATTCTCGACTGTCAGAGCCACATCCTGGCATCTCCCAAATCACCCCGTTTCGAATTGGCAACCTCTTATTTCCCCTGCGTATTGGGTATCAAGCCTACATGCTACAACATATCGAGTGGCTTGTTTGTTATACCTGAAAATCCAGTTATAGGCCGTTGATGTCAACCAGTAGTACCAGGCTACCCTACCGACCGGCTCACCTATCTGCCTACCTACTCTTTGGGGTACGTCTTTCTTCTCCCACCTCGACTTGACCGCTAATAGCGGACTTCACAGTTACCCCCGTTTATGCATCGTGCTTACGGGACTTCCCTTTCTGAAGGCTTGATACAATAGTGTGGGTTTCTCGGGTACGGACTCGCCATATCTCCGCTACCACCCAAGGTACCGTGCCTTCACGTGGGCTATCAAGCTCCATGCCAATTAAAGCTGCAGGTCGAGGACTGTCGTGGCTGTTGTGGAGGGTGATGACATGTTGCACCGCGTATAAGGCCGTTGATGAAAGGGCTTGCTTCACGATATCTGAACGTCTTTACCCCTGATCAAGGCACACGCTGCTCCGTCTCAACGTCGAGCCTCCCTTGCCCTTGGGAGTCCGACCATCTTGCACCATAGAGGTGCACTTCCAAACTCGCACTGCCGAGGAGGATGGACTATCCAGGATATTGGCTGGCACGTCACACCAAGAAGGTGCAAATCTCAACTCGTCACAAGAGGTTCAGTTGCCTTTGAAGAAGCCATGTCGTGCTTAGATTACGTGCGTTTGTGGGGTAAACAAGGTTGAAATGCCATACCAAGCAGACCAAATCCTGGGGTAGAGAAGAAGTGTATCTACTCACCTCTCCATATTTCTCACGGTTAGGCGGTACTTGTCCAGCTCCTTTCATTATATCCCGCGCTTTATCCGGATTACAAATGCTACCCTTCCAGCATCCGTAGACGTGGGTCGTCCTGCTTGTCCATCCAAGAGTTCCACAATGGTCACCACTCTCACAAGTCATCCTTACACTATCTTGTTCAGTCAAGTGCTGGTTATTCCGCCAGGCTGACAGTATCTTCAATCCCACGTTGGTATTGGGCAACCATATCGGACATGAACCTTTCAACAGGTTCCCACTGCCGTTCTGCCCGTATCCGCCAGGATCCAGCTTTCTTTCATGTGATAGACTCGTCATCTCAAATAGGTTTTATACCGACCTTATCCTGCTCTCACCCGTCCAATCACTTCCCATTTGGTACTACCCCCTGGGGAGGAAAAACAAGTACCTGATCAGGTACGAGAACACTCGGCAAAGATGCCCCGAGCGGATGGGGGGAAGGCAACATGGGCTAGAGGTATAGTTCACAAGATGGAGATATATCTTGGCCAGACTTCAGAAGGTCTAGACCTTCGCTCCTTCCCTCATGTGTTCCTTCCTCATCGTACAAGCCTTAAAGCGTGCCTTCCTACCTTGTCCCTCATACCTGCCCTCTAGTTCAACCAAGAATCTTGGCTTGAGAGGAAGGAGCGTTCGTTGCTTCACCCACCTCTCCTTAACGGACACTCCGGTCTCTTCGTTCACAGAGCGTCACTCATCCCCTCACCATCATTTCGTGACTATCTTACGCATTCATAATGTCCCAACCATCACCTCATACTCCCAGTGGCGGAGGGCACACCGGAACAGGAGCAGGAGCAGCTGCTCCGAGTGACGGAGGTCATGAGAGTCCTGCCATGCAAGCCTTTTTTGCCATGAGGCAGCGGAAGAACGAGCACATGATGAAGATGTACGCAGCAGCACTATGTGGCCTAGTTGCTCTCTTCGTCGTCTTCCACTGGACGAGATGGCTTTGTGTTAGAGCAGAACGGTCATGGAGGCCATTAGCTACACTGGGACGTCCCTTTGTTGCGATTGAGAGGTATGTACCATACTCTAATTTTCGAATTACGGCCTGTACTGACGGGTTCTACACTAGGTTCGTAAGGAGCCTTCTTGTTCGCAAGGTCCCTGGCTTCAAATCGGCTGGGCATGCGCTACTCGTTACAACATATGTTGTGGCCAATGTTGCCGTTGGGTTCACGAACGTAGATGCCAGCTCTAAAGCCAACTTTGCCTCCAGGTTTGGCCGGTAAGTCATTCATGCATCTCCTAATACTTTGCCTCAAGGTACTAATCAGAGTCTGCGTCAAGGCTGGCTCTATCAAACCTTGGACTCGTCATCTTTCTGGCACTCAAGAACACCCCTTTGGCTTTCCTCACTGCCTACTCCTATGAAAGGCTTAACTGTCTACATCGAATTGCCGGATACACGATGTTCATCTGGATGGTACTCCACGCGTCCCTGTACACCACATTCTTCAGTGAGTCAGGAATGATGGTTACCAAGTTCAAAGACCGGACTGAAATCGCGGCCATCGTGGCCGGCTTTTCCTTCTTGACGGTAGTCCTCTCGGCCACCATCCTCCGGCGAATCTGGTACGAGCTTTTTTACGTGGTCCACATTTCGAGTTGGATCATGGGGATTGTTGCTCTTGGATTTCATCAGCCGGTGGTTGCAAAGAAGGGGATTATCGTCATACTTCTGGTGGCGTCCATGTGGGTTCTTGATCACCTTATCAGGATCACCAGAGTTCTATACTACAGCTTGAACAACGAGGCGACATTGTATCCTCTCCCTGATGGTGGCACCAAAGTCATATTCAAGAAAGCACCCGCCAGGGCGGCAGCAGGAAAGCATTGCTTCATCTGGATACCGGCAGTACGCAAGTTCGAAATGCATCCTTTCACGATCCACAAGACGAACTCTTTGGAATTCACCATCAAGGCACAAAATGGCTTCACTCGCGATCTCCACCAACACGCGGTTGCCAACCCAGGTATCAGTGTGAGGGCGTCTCTCGATGGACCTTACGGCACATTTCCGGATCCTATGGATTACGATAAGATTGTCCTCATCGCGGGCGGCGGAGGTGCTACTTTCACGTTTGGCCTTGTGGCGAACATTCTTGAGAGGTTACACGATGAACCTCACAAGACCATCACATTCATCTGGGCTGTGAAGAAACACGGTGAGTCTTGCCCCATACACGATGTGACCGTTTCATTGTTGCTCGCATGGAAATCAGTTTTCGAAATGAACCATGACTATGACGATTTTTGTCAAGGGAGAGTAACTGACTGTTTTGGGTCCGTGATATAGAAAACTTAGCATGGTTCAAGGAACACCTGGAAGCATTGAAAAGCCATGCACACTCACCCAAAGTCGACGTCTCCATCTACGTGACACGATCACCAGTCGCTTCTCAGCACCACCACCACTTGCCGCACATTCACGGTCACAGCTTGCTGCACCACACACAACCGTGCACTTCGGAATCGTCTTCGGGAGGATCTTCACCACCTCTATCGCCCGATAGCGGCGGCAGCGGCTCCCCAGATACCGAAAAGATGTCTCAACTGCCATTACCTATCCATACCCATCAGCACCAGAACCACCAATCATCGACCCTGTCAGAAAAGGATCTCGAACACGGCGGCGGCCTTGCCGTGGTCTCTCACCACAGCAAGGCGGCGGACAACAGCACTGGCACCGAATCACATCCTCATCCCCATCATGCGCACGGTTACGAGCACGCCATCAAGCCCGGCAGACCGGACATGGCCACACTGATCCGCCAGGCCGTCGTCGGTACCCCTTCAAACCAGCGCGTGCTCGTGGCGGCGTGCGGACCGGACGGGCTGATGCGTGTCGTGAGAGATACGACGGCGAGGTTGATACAGGGAGACGGGCCGGGGGTGGAGCTACATTGTGAGCAGTTTGGATGGTAAATGTTTTGCGAGCCGTTGAAAAGGATTGACAAAAAAGGGGATTCGAATCGTTTTTTCTCTCGGACTTTCATGGGTTTATGATCAATGATAGTTGGCAATCCCATCGTGTATAGCCCTTCTTTTGCACCCATCGTGAATGTGAATCAGGGGTACTTGGGGTATAGTTGCTGTTGTCTCTTGTGTCCCAGTTTGTTTGTGTTTTTGGATGGATGAACCCGAAATGGATCTGGGAGGGTCCGGACGCAGGTACTGCTCGGAGTTTTTGTTTACCAACATTCATTCTCGGGGCCTTTATTTCGAGCTAGGGGGAGTCAAGGTTTATGGAGCCTATCAACCACCCATGAACGACCACGACTCTCGATCTTTCCTGATGTTGTTACAAAACGTTGACCGAGAAGAAGCCAACCAACCAGCCCATTGGATGTCGTCCATTCACATGTGGGCTTTTCTGCACGCCCCTTTCCATTGCGTCGACGTCCGCCACGATGAAGTGCCATTCTGGCCATTTTCGCATCTTGCTGCTTTAAAGCCAACGTGTTGGCTCCTTTCGGGATTTGAAAACTGAAATCTAGAACAAACTCTCGAGTGAAAATTCTTCCGTGTTGCGGTCGTCGACTGGACGATGATGATGAAGCTGGTTGTGATAGGGCAGTCGGGATCGGGTACCTTGCTGGCCATCAGCTCCTGCGCAGCTGGTACAGTGTTCCGAAGCTGTGACTGGGCAACAAAATTGAAGAGACAATCGCCGACATCGGTGCGCCATCACCAAGAGAGGAGGGGAAAAGAAAAATGTTGGCACGAAAAAAAAAAAAAAAGAAAGCATATTGAAAGACGTCTCAAGCACTCCTGTCGGTGTAGATGATTCTCGATGGATGGTGGATAATCCGAATAACTTCTTGAGATGTCCGTCATGAACTTGGTGAGTGCACGAATAGCGATGTACCTCTCCAACACGTTTTTGTAAGTACCGGGTAGGGTAAGAAAAACGACAAAGTTGGCGGGACTATCTAAATCAGGTGGTTTCCAACGGCCAAGTCTGTTAGCACGAATTTTTGCCAAGGATCTTCCAACAATCAACCCATGTGTTTGATGGAGCCTTTCTTTCACTTGTGTTGGAGACAGCGATCAGCCAGGCGAGCCAGGGATGCGAGATAGCGACGTGAAGATGATGCACGTTATTTGCTATTGCACATCATAGTCCCGCTTAAAAAAGAAGCCCGGTCTCTGACTCTACACTAAGGACGGAGTTAACTGAAAATAGACAGATACCCCTGGCGGTATTGCGTCAGCCAATAGTCGAAGCATGCTGGGAAAAAGTTTTCCTCAAGAAAAGAAAACATATGATTTTCAGCGGAAGAGCTTCGAAGAAAAAGAAGAACTTGACGAGGAAGAAAAAGAGGCGAGAAGAGGCTGGTAAGGAGAAGGGACACCGAAAGAAAGTTGGCTTGGGACGACCACGGCGAGAGCCGGAGTTGTAGGTAGTTATCAACGGCATGGTTACCTCTACTTAGCGCCGATCTTATCAATCCCTTTTTGTTGGGGGTCATGCACATTGTTTACAGTGCACCCCACCGGCTTCAAATCTCTAAGATCGTGATCTCAACTCGTCGATAGTGAGTATGTAGTGGAGTCTGTGGATGGAGCTGGTTCAAGAACGTCTGTCGGTTGTTATATAAAGTATCGGGCTCCTCTCTCGTGTTCAACCGAACTGATGAGCCCGTATGCTGTTATGGTCGATATGTCTGCGGTTTGGATTCGGACTTGACGCCTCTTGGGAAAAAGGAAGAGGCTGAACAACAACTGAACAATGGCAACATCGGTGCAAAGAATGAATGTGTGCTGGGCAAGGGGCTGAGGTTACATGGGACAGTTGAGAATGGATTTTGTACCCTGGACGTTAGCTCCTCGTCACGGTAAGCACTTCAAGCATCCTTCCCCTCTTGGCCTCTTACCCTCCCATCTGATTGTCTCGTCTTTGTTGCTTGCATCCAATGAGTTGCGGCACGTTTGGCACTGACACGGACTTGACGCCTGGAATCGGGAATCGAACCTTTTTCCCATTGATAACGGAGCAGATGGCGGTGACGGACACGACTTGTTGATAAGTGGTCGAAGGTGGTGCACACAGCTTGCACAGCAGCGCCCGCCCACCACCCGAATTGACGAATGTTTGTTGGCGACGGGCTTTCTTTGATAAGCTGGACCAACCGGGCGCATCGGAAGCCCGTTGTTCGCTTGTGCTTGCTATTCGTTGTGAGCAACCGGCCGCCCCTTTGCTGTGCAGACTGTGTGTGTCGAGATGAATGCCGGTCGATGAGGAGCAAAATGGCGAGTGCTCGCTTTAGAGACAAAAGAAGTGACACTAACAGCCTGGAGGACCCGCCGGATGTGGAGCCTCGCATCCCTGCTGCCCTGGCGGCCCCCTGCAAGCGGTCTCTGGTCCCAGTGGATGGGCTCTCTGACCCCCTCTTTGGTCCCTCTTTGCAGCAGGTCCAATTTGAATTGCTCCTTCTTTCTGATCGATCCAAGCTGAGGAGCTGACTGGCCCAGGTCGTACGAGAGGATCACTGCAAGGCTTAGGAATTTTTTTTTATCTTTTGGAATATTCGTTCCTCTGTGACTTCTTTTGGACTCTTCCCCTCCTCGCGTCCAACTTTCGACCTCTTTATTTTTTTTATATCCGTTGTTGTTTCTCCAAACTGCAACCATCTTCCTCCCCGATCTCCAACCACCAAATACGCTACTACCGACTAACCTGACGTCAGCGACAGCCAGGAAGAGCAAGCAGCGTTGCGCCACTCCTCCGCATCTATAATCTCCAAATCACCACCCGGTCCTTCAAACTTCAGTTTCGCGCGACCACCGACCTCTTTGTTGTCCACGCATCTCCAAATATTACATATCTCCCACGAGGATCTCTTCAGTCATATTCGATCTCGAGAAGCCCTCCAATCCAAAAGCAACCTCCAGTCCCGAAACCCTGTGCCAGTGCACGAATCAACAAGCCGACAATGGGCACTTTTACCTTTAGATGGTCAGTTGCGCAGTTCCATCCAATCCCTCCCGCAGTGTTTCATTCCGGCACATTGCAAGAAGCGTCAGCATGCGGTCGCCCGTCCACGGCCACCATCCAATGCGCGATGATCTCCCATTGTGCAATGAGGCGTTGGATCGCGAGACAGGAGCCAGAAGATGGCATCTCATCTGAATGCACCCCCGCTGCCATCCCAACTCAACTCGCGCACCAGCCTGCAAGTGTCGGGCGGATGTGAAGCACCATGAAGCACCTACCGTTGCGGTGTCACGATGGTGATTGCTGTAGCACCGTGTCATCTCCTTCTGCGAATTGTATGCTGACTCGTCTGCTTTTGAAACGAACAGGCCTCACGCCGCTGAGGAGGTCTACGTGACCGGCACCTTTGACGGCTGGTCCAAGAGTGAACAGCTCGACAAGGTTGGCGACCATTTCGAAAAGACAGTCACCCTTCCCGATTTCACAGAGAAGGTCTACTACAAGGTTGGTGATGATTCAGTTTGGTCTTCTCCCCCAATGCCCATAATACCTGCGCTCGCTGCGCTGCTGAGTGCTGGCCCCGCTGCCCTTCAGGCCTCATGTGGGGTGGATGGGGAATGACTTACACCATTGCTGGTAAGGCCAGCCTATGATGTTGCAGCTTTGATGCCTTCAGTTCCGTTCGAGTCTATCGACACACCTGTTTGCATCGCAGTTGCGTGCTTACAAAATAAAGAGAAGGAGGGCAGCAGCTGAGTCAAAAGAGGGCGTCGGAGGGATGCAAGCGCATTCTCAACCCATTTCCCGAGGTTGATGTTGAGCCGGATTTTGGGAAATGAGCAATTCGAAAAGAGTTGGAGAACGACGTTGCTCAACTTGCTTGGGTTGCTTGCGCTGTCGCAAGTGTGGAATGTTGATGCTCCATTTCCAGTGCGATCCGCGGACGTGCTCCAGCGGCCTCGGGCGGCTGCTGGGTCCCATTCTTTAGGTGGCTATGACGCAACGCAACATCGCGTGACGGTAGAGAGCCACCAGGGGCCCCATAAGCGAGCCAGGCCAGAGCCGCGAGCGAGGCCGTGACTGGCTGGAAGGCATCCAAATAATGGGGCACTGCGCTCCAGAAACTCATCGGTGCTCTCAAGCCGGCGTGTTGCGCATACGAACAAGCAGGGTCTCTGCACTAGTGTGGAGCTGCAGCTTACTTTATTTCATCACTGCCATACATTGCCTTGCTCGTGGGAGGTGTTTGGCAGCGTTCTGGCGCCTCTTCGGGTGGCATTATCGCATGCGCTCTGTCGTGTTGCCAGGTTGCCAGAGAGACGAGGGATGGGATCTTCCAGCCAGGCAGCCAGACACTGCAGGCCAGGCAGACCAGGGCAGCGAACGGGCAGTCTCGCTTCCTGCTTCGTCATCCAAGCGCAACCCCTCCTTGCCTCGTCCTGTTCCCGCTTACCTTTCACTTTCCAATTTTTCACATATAAACGAGACACAATCCATTCAACTCTCTGACCAAGCACTGACGCAATCATATTCCACAGTTTGTTGTCGACGGACGTTGGACCACCGATCACACAGCACCACAAGAAAAAGACCACGAAGGAAACGAAAACAACGTTTTGCTACCCGAGAACCTCATCAGAACCACAGACCCATCAACACAAGAACCAGAGCAACAAGCCATGTCGAATGAGAACCGCAAGGTAGAAGGGAGCAGCAATACAGGAGAGCCCAGCTTTGCAGAGACCATCATGAGCGCACTCAACACTGTAACGCCCGATTCGACGGCGCAATCTGTCAGCAACCCTCTGGAGAACAAGAAGAACCACGGCCCTCCAGGTGGCTGGGTTGAGACCCCTGCGGCCGACGGCGACAAGACCTTCAGCGTTAGCCCCCTTCCTGCCACAGATGGCGCTCTCAACCCCATCGACCTCAAGCCCGGCGAAAAGATCCCTGATAGCTTCTCGGCCCAAAATGTCAACACCCACGTTACTCTGGATAAGGAGTCGTACGAAAAGAGCGACCGCATTCCCGGCGTCGATTTCAGCACATCACCTGTTGCTGCTCCTACCGTGACCACTGATGCGGAGACCGAATTCAAGGTCAACCCTCTTCCTGCAACTGAGGGTGCTCTCAACCCCTTCAAGCTCGCACCCGGCGAGAAAATTCCCGATGACGTCAGGGCTGCAGACATCAACACCAACGTTACACTAGATAAGGAATCGTACGAGAACAGCCCCGATCGGATTCCCGGCCTCGACGCCGCATTGCCCCCGATTTCCAAGAACATGATCCCCGAATCCAGCCTTCCCATCACTAGCAACAACGATGTCTTCATCAACACCGTCACCCCCATCTCAACCACTGCTGCCTTGGCTGCCCAGGTTCCCTTTGACGAGCCTGCGGTTCCCGAGGCTGTCAGGGAAAGTCAGGAGAAGGCCCACGTGGAGCCCGGCGCAAGTGGTATGGCCGAGGAGGTAAAGGTCAAGGCCGCCGTTGAGGATGAGCTGTTGCACAAGGTTTCTGAGGTCCCCTCAACCTCCGAAGGCACTGCTGGATATGGCACCGAAAAGGCTGAGACTGACTTGTCCCTTGCCGATGCTGTTGCATTCGCCGGTAATGCCGCTGCCGCTGCTGTCGTCGGCGCTGCCACCGTTGCCGCCGATAAGCTCCCCGGTGTGCTCGAGAGCACCGCAAACGCCGCGGTAAATGTTGGTAGCAAGATCCCTGGTGCCGTTAATGCGACCGCCAATGCGGCTGTCGATGTTGGCAGCAAGATCGGACAAACCGCCAGCGAAGCTCTTGGTACTACCGCCAATGCCGCCACCAACGCTGCGTATGCCGCCAAAGACACCACCAGTGATGTGCTTGGCAGCGCTGCCAATGTTGCTGCTAGTGCCGGTACCCAGGTGCAGGAAACCGCCGCCAACACTGCTAGCACAGTCCAGCAGACTACCGCTGACGCTACATCGACTGTTGCAAGCAGCCTCCCGAGCGTGCCAGACGTCACTGGCCACCTACCACAGGCGGTCCAGAATATTCTCCCTACGTCGTTTCAACCGGCGTTCCAAAACGGTCAGGCTCTTCCTACTTCTGCCGAGGTTGAGAGGTCCCTCGCGGCAGAAAAGGCATCACGCGTTGAGGGGATTTCTGCGGCCGTTCCTATTGAGGTCAAGGATTCCATTGAGAAGGCTGGCGAGTCGCCCGAAGCTACCACCAATGCCGCGGCAGTCTTGGAGAAGCAGGCCGTTGAGGCCGAGCTGCTGAGAGAGGTGAAGCCCACACAGGCCGAGCCCCCGGCCGTAGCCGCGTCGGTTCCATCAGAAGTCAGGGATTCCCTCCAGCAAGCCGATGAGTCTCCCGAGGCTGCTGCTTATCCTGCCGCTGTTGAGGACAAGAAGGCCGTTGAGAATGAGCTGCTGAAGACCGTGAAGCCCACGGAGTCTGTCCCGCTAGCCTTGGCCTCGGCAGTTCCAGGAACCGTCAAGGATTCCATCACAAAGGCCGGTAAGGCTCCCGAAGCCGCCGCCAATGCCGACGTTGTAGCGGAGAAGACTGCCGTCGAGGCCCAGCTTCTACAGGAAGTCAAGCCCGTCGAGGTAGTAGCCGACAAGAAGGCCGTTGAGGCTGAACTCCTACACGAGGTCAAGCGCACTGAGCCTACTGGCGAATCATCCACAAAGGCAACCACCAACGGCACGGCAACCAATGGTTCGGCAGCCAACGGTTCGCCAGCGAACGGTGCAGCGGCCAATGGTTCAACAGCCGCTGCTTCCAAGCCCGTTGAGACACCGGTCACTCCAACAACGCCGACAGCTACGGAGGGTTTCCATGCTGCCAATGGCAATGGCAAGGCGACTGAGCAGCCGACTGTCACCACTGGCCCTGAGACTACGACCACGACCACGGCCTCTGCCTCTACCACCCCAGAGAGGAAGAAGAAGAACCGAGTCAGTGGTTTCTTCAGCAAGCTCAAGCACAAGTTCGCTTAGAAACAAGGATAGTGCATTGAGTGTGGTTGATTCTTTTTTCTTTTTCTCTTATTGCTGTCATTGTCTCGTTTAAAATATTCCCCATGGGCTGGAAGGTTGATGAATTGGTAGGATGCAATGCGTCTTTGGTTTTGTTATTTCTCTCGTGGCATTGGGCACTTTTTGTAAGATAGAAGCGCACACGCAGTTAGTCGTGCGCTCATGGGCGGCCGGATAGGCGCCTTACGCATCTCATAATGTTTTGTCCTTTTGATCCGTTGCCCTTCTGCTTTTGATGCTCTCTCATAATGCACCCGTACGATGGACGGCACATGATGATACCATGAAACCGTCCTACCTACTCTACCTAAACCTAGTCGTATGTTTAATACTTATTCCTGTCAACAGTGTTTGAGCTAGGTCATTCTGGCGTCTTTCGCCTTTGAAATACGATTGCGCGGTATGGATTAGGAGAGATTGGACTTACTGGAGGAATAAGCGCAACGGTGATAATTAAGATGTCTAAGAGTTTCCAATTCTGCTTTCTCAGTTGTCGATTTAGTCCAAGTTGCTATAACAGTTATGTACTGGAGGTTGGAAGCTTAGCATGATATGGGCATTTGTAATCTACACTGAATTCTGTATTGCTACACTCCGCACGGATTTTGCTATGCCTTGGTGAGATCCCTACAATAACCGTCAATAAGTGATTATACAAACATGATCAGATGCTTATCTTGAGCTCAATTTCCAAATGCAAGATCTGTAGTCGCCCTCGTTCGTCATTCCTTGTCCAACTGGGTCAATACACAGTCCCTATGTAGCCCCAGACGACTGTAGCGGCCATTATGTCACCGTGCGAGATGTTGGCTTGCTGAAATCCTTGCGATGCAAGCGTCACACTACGAAATAAATGCCAATACGCTGAATGTCAACATAAAACTTCTCTCATGGAGATTGACCAGCAATATAGGCCGTCAGTATAGTAAAGATAGTGCGCAGTCTGGTGGTGCGGTGCTGTGGTTGTTTTGTATCATGAGTGTAATAATCATTTAGACTGATGCGGCTACCGTGATTGAAATCTACTTTGAATGAGAAAAAGCCGTACAGTATCGGCCTCTGCAAGTGCATACTCCAGATACTGCATAACCAAAATCTGCCTTCTAACTGTATAGCCAAGCGCGGTCGCAAATCCCTGTCTCCCATTAAAACGCAGCTCCTCCTTCTACATATATACTAGTTCATGCATAGGATTTGGCGGTCCCCCAGTGTATGATTTATATGCAGAATCAGGGGACAGTACTTAAAGCCGGAGTCAGCTGACATTGGACGTGACAGGCACTTATGGCAGGCGGCAGTACCTGTCTGGGGTACCGCAACGCCTGGAAAGATGCAGCGCCTCGCTCCCACCTTCAGTTGCCATTTGCCCCGCGTACCTCTTACAACGGTGACCTCGAGTGACTCCCGCCCGTCCTCCGACTCCCTTCTCGTTCCAATTCCTCATGGGGTCCGAATTTGGACCCCTTCTCGAACTTTTGACATACTGCCGCCACCAAATCATTGCCGCTTACCTTGTGTTATCCTCGTGTCCATATTCCATCCCAAGTGTCGGTCTTTCAAGCGTTACGAGGTCGTTTTCATTCCCAGCGAGCAAAGACCACGCGTCTGAGATAACAGACGTCATTGCCCCCCTGCAACGCCAACAGACTATGACAACCGTGAGGTGATTAGGACACAAGGTATTATGCATCAGTCAACCTTTCAATCTTCCTTTTGTCGGGATTTTTAGACCCTGCCGCCTGTCGGAGTAGCTTTAAGGATGGAAAAAGGTGCTGACAGCTTAGTGAAGCATCGTTAGGGTCGTCTCGCCACCGGAGAACTACTGGAGAACAAGTACCTGAAAGCGAAGCATCTGATCCACCGCGAGAGGAGCACGCTCACTCAATCCACCAACGCCTTCTGCCAAATATGAACTCGACCCCATCAGTCCCGGGCAAGTCCCTTTCCGCTCCTCCAAACTCGAACTTCTCCCAAGCCCCTCCGCAAGCACCCTCACCTGTGGGCTTTGATTCTGCTCGACGCCAAGGTACAGGTCAAGGCCAGGGATCAAGCGCTTCACAATCCGCCCCACGGAGGAATCAGGGCGCCAGACGGCAACATAGAGACATGAGGCGCCCCGGCGCAATGCGGCAGCAGAGCCGGGTGAATGATGACGAAGACATTCTGGCTGAAATGCGAGCTATGCGGAATGCTTCGAGCCGTCGCGGACAGACCTCCATCACACATTTGCTGAACCTAAACCCTCCGCCTCGCCCAGTCTACGACAGCCATCACAGCTATTCCTCCCGCTCTTATCGCCGAAACCCTAGCTATGGTGTTGGTTCCGGCTACCATTCTATGGACAAGGCTCGCTATGTCCATGCCAACTACCGATTCGTCGTGTCGCCCTGTGGCAATTACACGGCGCAAGCATCAGACGCAGACGAACATCTCGAATGGGCCGATATCCTACAGATCATTGCTTCAACAGAGTCGCAACAGACCTCATGCCCAATCTGTCTTTCGGAGCCCGTCGCGCCACGCATGGCGAAATGCGGCCACATTTTCTGTCTGCCGTGTCTTATCCGCTTCATGAATACGGTGCCCAACGATGACGGCCGCTCACCTCCGGAAAAGAAGCAGAATCGATGGAGAAAGTGCCCCATCTGCGATGATACAGTCTATCTAAACGAGGTTCGCCCGGTCAGGTTCTATGCCGGTCAAGAGAGCGCTCTCCCCCGGCCAGGCGAGGATGTTGTGCTGCGTCTAATGGCGCGCAATGCAAAGAGCACTCTCGCATTACCCAAGGAAGGTGCTGCAGAGGTACTGCACTCGGGCGATGACATTCCCTGGCATTTTGCCGCCAATGTTCTGGATTATGCAAGGATCATGAAGGGTACTACCGGATATATGGAAGAACAGTATGACCAAGAAGTGGAGGATATAACCAAGCAGGAGAAAGAAGACGAACTGATGTTCCACGAAGATAACGAATGGACACAGAAAGCCATCAGGGCAGTTCATGCGGCAAAGGAGAAGTTGAAGGAGCTCGATTCTACTCAGACGACGGCACTTGCAACATCCGCCGCTGCCGGATCCCGGTCTAAAAAGCGTGACGAGGACCTTGATTTCTTTTTCTACTCTGCTCCTCCACATCTTTACCTTTCACCCTTGGATATCAGGATTTTAAAGACCCAATTTGGCTCTTTCTCCGAATTCCCAACCACACTTCTTCCAAGGATTGAGCATATCTCTACAGGCAACGCCGTCGACGATGTCATGCGGAAACGCGCCAAATACCTGTGTCATCTACCCCGAGGATGTCTCATCAGCTTCCTCGAATGCGACTGGACTGACATCGTTACCCCTGAGGTTCTCGAGACCTTCAAGGAGGAGACCGAGCGCCGGCGTGAGCGGAACAAGGACAAAGTTGCTCAGGAGGAGCGTGAGCGCTTGCAGGCAGAGCGCCTCGAAGCCGCTGCTATCCGTGGTACCAGGCGTCAGGCGGGCCCGTTAGCGGAGGAAGGGATCATTCGGTATGGTAACGCCGATGCGGATCGGCCCCCGGTGAACATGGATGACTTCATCCCTCTTGGTGCGGAAGCACCAAGTACGACACCACCAAACCCGAGGGCTGGATTTGGGACCCTGTCAGAGATGAGTACTAGCCCGGGTGCACAAAGGACGGTCTGGGGCACGCCGGCTATCCATGGGGATGAGCCGGAATACATGGCGCCCAGGAATCCGGTTGATGATGGCTGGTTGAAGGATGATGATGTTATAGACAGTCTGAGCGCGCAGGATATTGCTTTCCAGATGGAGGCAATGGGACTTGAGAATGGTGCTGGTAGCAGCAGTGCTGCCGCTGCCGCTGCCGCTGCCGCTGCCGCTTCCGCGGTGGGCGGTGCTAAGGCCGGCGGTGGCGCCAAAGGTGGAAAGAAGAAGAAACAGAAGATCACATTGATGAGCACCGGAGGTAGGAGGGGTCTTTAGGAACATCGGCCTGTAAAGGTTAGCAGATCATCAAAGGCCTGGTTGTCCCTTTAAACATTTGCGCAACAAGATTATCAAGATATTGGCTTCCGAGATGGGCGTTTGTGGTGTCTTTGAACGAGTTGCCAGTCTCAGCGTTGCATCTGGCTTATGCACATCAGTCATGGGGTCTGGAACGTGTTCTGATAAACAGATACTCTACGGCAAGTCCAGGGAAGGGGGAAGTGATTCGGGCCAGACCGCAGCACCATGGTTAAGCGGATAGTCTGCATTGTTATGGATATGCAGCATTTTGATACTATGGAAATCTGGTGTGTATCGAATGGTCCGCAGCGTGATCGTTGGATCAACCGTGAACTGGGCGCCAGAAAGTGGTAACAGCTTCTAAATAACATGGAACAATTTGGAACCCTTCGCTTTCCCCGTGTTTCTCTCTTCGTGTCTGCGTACTGTGGTTCCGAGCAAAAGAAAAACCCCCCTGTCAGGTATCTGGCACGGACTACCACGGCCAAAATTTCGGAGTTGTCGAGGTGGGCGTAAAAATAAACCGAATATGAACAGTCCAATACGGCTCGCTTTGGCTAGGAAAGGCCGTTACAAAACTGTGATAGGGATCACAATAATTTGAAAACACATCGGCTAGAGTCACTTAGGGATTCTTCCCTTCAGAAACTGCCTAGAATTTAGGTTCAAAGGTATATTAAATACGCTGGGATGTGTAATGTACTGACCGTGACATGTTCGGTTTATTCTTAGGACTATTCGGTTGTGTAAGGTTCGGTATTTCCCCCGCCTATTGAACTTACCCATCATACCAAGTAAGAGAACCAGACATTGGGATATTGATTGGTGTTGAAGTTCCTGAGAGGACACTCAGGTGCAGATCGCCGATGGAACCGATTATCCGAGAAGCCCGACCTCCTACGCTATGTAGTCAAGGTACATACCACCTCACCGACTATGGCGCATTTCACGTGTCAGCAAGTCTATCCGCAAACGTTCTTGGTGGCAGGTACAATGAGCGTGAAAGATGCAGCAGCACAGACTTGACCATCAACTGCGAAGTGAGCAACATCATGACATCATCGACTCATCATGCTGCTGTCTCTTACACGTACACCACGCTCCAAAACAGATCTACCTCTGTCTTTGAACAAACACCTTTCTCAGTCACCTCCACCTGAGAATACAACTCAGACTCAGAAAGCTCCTGCGTACAGCCAAGAAGCAACAATACTCGACCAACACAGCTAGATACGCTCACTACTCATACCTATCCATTAAACACAAACCTGCAGCAACCACCCACCATGTCGAAGAAGGTAGGCTTGAAATCCTTATTCCTCGTTCACATCCATCTTTGAGATCTCCCTTGTCCTTTAACCTAGCCCTCTTCCATACAACTCGACTAATACAGACTCCTCTCCAGGTCACCAGCGAAAACGTGCCTCCCAAGCACGAAGGCGTCGGCTCCGTTCCTTCGGACTCCCTCGCGGCCGACTCCATCCGCTCCGGCGGTGCCTTCGCCCAAGGCAACCCGTCCGCCTCCGCAGGCGACTCGGCCTCGCAGAACCCACGGGCCAAGGCCCCCGGCACCGCCCATCAGAGTCACCCCACCGCCCAGCAATCGAAGCACGAGAATCCCGAGCAGGGCGCGCCGGCGCCGACCTACATTTTCCACCATGGCCGTAACCTGCCTGATCCGTCCGGCCGCCCACACGGCAAGAATATCAAGGAGGGCGGATTTGCCGAAAGCGAGACCGGGGGTGGAAGCATGCCGGAGCCCGGAAGCAAGCAGGATCCCGGGCGTGTCGCGTTGAGGGATATGCTGACTAGCACCGCACCCGTAGTCAACCCGGGTGCCAAAAAGGGAAGCCAGGAGGGAGGGGACGTTCTGCCGTTAGAGACGCGCGAGACGGGATTTGAAGCGTTGGGAGGGGATACTGAGGCTTGAACCTAGAACAGTTGAACAATGAAGGAAGTGTACGATATGAGGAGGTTTCTAAAAGGTAGTCAGTTAGAATGATAATGAACGTCATGACTACAAGTAGTCTAAGTGAGGGACACTCGCCATATTCGAGTTGCATGTGATGGCAGTCATCGATACACGCTGACAGTGTCTGCCAGGCCCAACACAAGCATCGATGCATCTTGAGAAATGTCATGTTCATTCAGACATTGTATATCGTGGTACCTCATTAAATATTACCCAAAAGTTCACCAAGCACAACCCCCAAATGTCCCTCCGTCTCTCCTTCTTATTCCCAGTTGTGGTTGACATGAAGTGTCATAGTGTCTGCAAGCTGGCCCCCCATTCTCAGAGGGAGTTCGTGTGCAGCACCACTTGCTCGTCAATCACACACACCTCAACGATTCAGCCACCCGCTCCCTCCCTTCACCCCCAGAGGAAGAATTGCTCCAAACACATAAACACCTGCATTCGCCTTTTCTTTTTGACTCCCCTCAACAAGCTTTTCACTTTTCTTCGAAACCCAAAAAAAAAGCCAAGGCTTCAATCCTTAAGCGCTTCCAACCCCCAAGATGAAACAAAACGCCAACAGATGATGAGTCAATAAGTCACCGCTTTGAACTTTGGGCTTAATTAAGCCAAACTTAAAGCACAGCAGCAACGACACCCGCAACAGCAGCCAGCAAGCCACCGGCGTTCACAAGGACCTCACCGGCGGCGTTACCGGTCGCGGAGCTCGAAGGGGCGGAGGCGGTGTTGCTCGACGCGGCGTCCGTGGCGGTGGTGTTGGCGTCGTCAGTGTTCTCGTTGTCGCTGCCGCTGGAAGAGGCGGCGGTGGTGGCGGCGGCGGCGGGAGCGGTGTTCACGTTGGTGGTGGCCACGGCGACCTTGCTGGTGGAGGACGGGTATTGCTTGTCGAGAGCGCACCAGGTGTCACGCTGACCCATGTCGGATGCTGTTTGAAGGGAAAGGCGTGTTAGTATGTACTGAAAAAGAAAAGAAAAAAGAGGAAATAGCCAAAGGGAGAAAGAGGAGGAGGAGGAGGAGGAGGAGGAGGAGGAGGCTTACCCTTGCGGGGATCGTTGGGGCAGTTGTTGTAGCAGGCAATGATGTTGGGATACTGCGCGCACTTGCAGCCGTAGTCGTCGCGGCCGCACAAGGCGAGCCTGCTGTTCTCGGTACCGAGGCAGGTCTCGACAATGTAGGCGGCGCCGCAGACGGAGGTGGTCTGGGCCGCGGCGACGGCGAACATGGCGGCGAGGGGGAGGAGAGCGGCCTTCATTTTGGCTGTTGGTGTATTATTGAATTAGGTTTGGTGAGAATTAGATGGAACAACAACAACAAGAAGAAGAAGATTAACGATTACTTTCACAACACGGCGGATGAGTGAGAGTAAGTAAGTAGGTAGGGGAGGAAAGATATTATGTATGAGGAGGGATCAGGAGACCTTGTATATAAAGAAGGCCGGGCCGGTAGATATGGATCGATGTGTGAATAGTCTAGACAAAAAACGATTGGATATTGCCCTTTCCTTTCTGGTTTTCTCTTCCAATGATATTGAAGAGGGAGGGTCTGACAGGCAACAAACGGTCGAGCGGTGGAGAGAGGGACTGGAGAGAGACAGCGAGGAGGAGAAGAAGAGAGTGTGTGAAAAGGGAGTGGACGCGCGGTGTGGGTGTTGTCAAGGGTTAAAAGTAAGGTAACTCTGGACGGGGGAAGAGGAGAGAAAAGAGTGGTTGACGAGAAGGTCCGAGAACCTGGGGAAGCTCCTAAAGGTAGGGGGGGAGAGTGAGTCCATTCAGAGCCCTGGTCCCTGTCAAAGGCATTGTTGACTCTTGAACGGACGGTGACTTGTGAGAGACGTTCGTTCGTTCGTGAGTTCCCCCGGAGTATGTCAACCACCCCCCGGTCTATTTAGTACGCAGGCAGCATGTCAACCCAAGGCACGCTAGTCCAGGTTGGGCATGACTGAGATGCAGTCTTAAGCCGCAATTTAATCTCCAGAAACGCCTCTTTTGCCTGTTTTTCATGGAAGTCGAGCGTCACAAGAGCCGGTTTCATTTCACAGAAAACATGGGGATATCGCCAAGTTGGTGAGAGAAGCAATCGCTGGCTGGAGTTGTCGTCTGCGCTAAAATCGCGATCTTCGCTCTTCCTGCGCTCCCGCCCGCGTATTGGGATCCATCATTCAGGACATCGACCCAGGTCTCCCCACAATCCACAGTCTCCCCGCCATGTGGTTCCGCCAGAACGAGAAGACTAGGGTGGCCCAAGTGCGTCTTAGGCCCAATTAAAAACTAGTCCAAACTCTTAGCTACAACCAACTATTAGAGAAATTATTAATACTCCGCACACAAACACACGCACACTCCTCCTCGCTAAATCAATTACCTTACATCTATACCCTTATACTTTAATACTGCACAATTATCATATACGTTCCCTTACCACTCCCCTACCACTCTTCTACTATTCTCTTACCGCTCCCCTACTACTCCCTTACAGTTCCCTTCTCACTCTCCCACGAAAAGACTACAATCCTCTACAATAGCGTAGCCATTCAAATACTAAAGCAACGCACTCCCGGCGGCCCCTACTCAATAGACTAATATATTAAATAAGGAAGCGTAAATTGCCTTTATATTAAATATAATTAATAAATCCATTTTTAGTACTATTATATAAATTCTAAAAGATAAAAAAATATATTATAATTAATTCTTTCAAATTGGAAATAATCTAATATTATTAATATTAATAAAACGTAGTACGCTTATAAGAAATAAAAAAAACCTACCGCAATAAAAAATAAAATATCTCTACGCCTAAAATTATTAATATAGGTTAGGCTATTACTTCCGCCGTTTACCTATTTAAAGCTACTACGCAATATAACAAATATACTAAATATACGAACAAAAAAACGCTTCGCCCCACTTCTAAATATATTACGCCTATAGATAAATAATTTAATAATATTTATACTTACTATTACTATACTAGCTAAACTCTAAATACTCCTTTGAAAAAGAAATAAAAAAGAAAAAAGAGAAGGAGGAGGAGGTAGAGGAGGTATAGGTTCTATAGATAAAAGAAGAGAAGGATAAAATAATAAACGATATAACCCTCTAAAATTTAGAAAAAATAAAAGATATTTTAACTTTTAATATTAAAAAACGTAGAGCGGTTAAGGCGATTTCGCCGTAGAAGCGCAAAAGAGCAATATAATTGTACTATATTAATAATTTTTTAAATATATTTAGTATATAGCATATTCTAATTTTATTTTACTACGAACTTTATTCTAATTTTTACCTACATATATATTATTTCTATATAAATAGTATATTCCGTTTTAATATTTAATATTTAATAATTATCTCTAATTAAGAATAATCGTATTTAATTAAGAAAAATCATATCTAATTAACACTAAACGCTTTCTATATTAAATAGTTAAATAATATTTTTTATTCTGCTTTTTATCTAAATAAATATTTTAATCTACACATACTATATAGAACTAAAAGAATTATTTTTAATATACTATAATAATAAATAATTTAATTACATAATTTAATTATTTATATTATAATTAAAAACTTAAAAGATTTTATAATAAAAATCCGTTTTTTTTTTTAATAAAATAATACTCTGTATACTTTTTATCTTGAATAATATATGTAAATATGTTAATTTATATTATAAAAATTAAAATAGTCTTTAAATATATATAATTTTAAATCTATTAAAATAAATAAAAGCTCTTTAAAATTAAATTATTTTTATTTATTTTTATTTTTAATAACTTTCTAATTTAGAAAATAAACTTTTAAATATATAAATATATTATATAAAAGTAAGAAGAAGAATTTAAAAGTTCTTAAAAGACCGTTTCAAAATTTAAGATTATTTATTTTTATATAATCTTATATAAATATTTTATATATATATTTATATTACGTTTATATAAAATACAATAGGTCTATAAAAGTATAATAAAGTAAATAATTATATAAAGTTAAAATACTATATTTAATAAGGAGAATCAGAAGGAAAATTATATTAAAAAGATTTAATTAAAATAGAATTTTAAAGTTAAGCGTACAAATTAAGTAATTATATAAATTTAATTAATTAGAAAACTCGTATCGGCTTATTAATTTAATAAATTTATAAGGATCTAGCTTAGTAAAACTATATTAATACCTTATATACTAGCCTTATAATATAGATTTAATATTATAATTATTATTTTATATAAATAAAAATAAAAAATAAATTAAAAAACAGAATTTAACAACGTGTTTAGGATTTAGAATTATTAATATTTGAACGTTTTTGTATAAATATTTTATTTATATATATATATTAATATACGAATATACAATATATAAATAGAGTATATATTAATTTATGTTAAAAAGTTTATTTTTTAAAACCTTCTGGTAAACTCTAAGTGGTATGGTTAGCCTTATTAACTTTACTAATTATAAAAGTTCTTATAATTTTTATAAATTATTTTTATTCAAGTAGTTATTTATAAAAAGAAAAATAATACCTTTTAAAAGCCTTATAGTTATATATATAATTAAATTATAAAGTACATCAAATTAATTTACTTTCTTCTTTCCGTATTACGCTTTTTTATATTATAATATTTAATATAAGATCATTTATAAATTAGGTTTTAAATTCCTATAATATATATAAATATTATATAGGATAAATATTATAATTAAATATTCTTATATATAATAAAACAAAGCACGGTTAATATATATAGTATTTGAAAAGGAATTTAATTTTATTTATTAGATTGATTTTATTATAGTTTTTATACTTATAAAAGATTAATAGGGAAATTCCTAGATTTCCATATCTTTCCTATATTATAATTTAATTTAATAATAACGGCCTAAATTATTTAAATCATTATAGAGCCTTCTATATTTAACCGTTACTTAGAATTCTAATTATTACGGGGTAAGGCGATATTAAACGTTAGGGGTAAATTAAAATTTATATCCCTATATTATAGTTTAATTTAATAATAACGGCTTAAATTAATTAAATTATTATAGAGCCTTCTATATTCAACCGTTACCTAGAGCTCTAATTATTATAGGGTAAGGCGATATTGAACGTTAGGGGTAGATTAAAATTTATATATTTATATAAGAAAAAAAAGAAGCTATAAAATATATACATAATTTATAAGGAATAAACCTAGCGGTAAGCCTATAGTACGTATACATAATTAACCCACTTGCTGCCTCAATACCGAAGCGGCACAATATTAACTATAATAGTATAATTAATTAAAGAGCGTACATTAACCCAGCAACTATTACCGTAGTAATACCACGACCAAATAATAATTATAAGCTAACCCTATAATACTAACTATTTTATAATTAGTATTTAACTTTCGCTTAATATATTCTTTCTGTATAAATAATTAATTAGGATAGCCTCTCCCTTCCTTTTATATTATCCTTCTTTTATTTTACTATATATACTAACATAACTTTATTTAATTAAATTATTATCTTAAATACATTATTTCTTCTTTATTCATATTAAAAATATTTAATTATTTTTATTATTCTAACTTTATATATTGCTTTTCTAATCTTTTTTTTAAATTTACAATTATAAAAAGCGTAAAATTATAATATAGGCATTTTAAGATAGAAGAGAAATTAATAAAAATTCCTATATATTTTATTAATTTTTACGTTTTAATTTTATTATATTAATTAAAAATTAAATTATTTTTATAATCTGAATAGAATCTTATAATAGTCCGGATAGAATTTCATAATAGTTCGGATAGAATTCTTTTAATCAAAAAAGAAAATATATATATATATGTGTGTTTATTATTTTATTCGTTTTAACCTTTAAAGAATTTTATATTAAAAGCTCTTATTTTTAAATAATAAATAATAGAAGATTATATAAGAAGGCAAAATTTAATAAAAATTAATAATTATATAAAGAAAAATACAAATATATATTAAAATTAAAATTGAAAGAATTATTATTATAAGGAGGGAAAATGAGTATTATAGTTAAATATTATAATTATATATATAACGAATAAGAAGGAGGTTACCATAATAGGTTTCTACAAATAATTTAAAATTATTAATTTTTATATAGTTTTATACGAATATTTTTATTATATATATATATAAACCTTATTAAATAAATTAATTCTAATATATATATATATTATATATTAATTATATATTCGCTTTACTATTAAACAACTAT